GTAACCATGGCAACCAGTCCCTGCGGGAGACTCAGTTGAGTCTGGAGGGACTCAGCACCTCATTTAATTTGTTCAGCAAACATTCATAAGCCTGTGGGGAGCCAGGCGTTGGGCTGCGCCCTGGGGCCACAGAAATGGAACAGTCCCGCCATGGAAGCCACACTCACCTGGAGGCCACGGGAAGCTGTGCTGGCAGCCAGAGAGGATCTGGGACGGAGAAAAGCCGGGAGCGCTGCTGGATCCTGGAGGCGCCCAAACCAGGCACTGACCTCTGACCTTAGGCTGAGGGAGCGCGTCAGCCAGGCCGAGGGCAGGGGCTGGTTTAGGCGGGGAGAGCCCTGCACCTCGAAGATATTTATTTATTTATTATAATGAAAGTTTTTTGTTTTGTTTTTTTAAGATTTTTATTGGGAAATTGGGGGATGGGAACAGCGCTGGGGAATTGGGGGGAGGGGAACAGACAAGTTGCTGTCCTTCTGTTCTTCAGTCTAGTTGTGGAGGACGTTGCTTCACTGGCCCAAGTTGGCACCATCATTGCGCTCTTCCCGGGCGAGGCAGATCAGTCGCCGGCTTCTGGACGGCCACTCACTGCGGCTGCTGGCCGCTCACGCTGGCTGCTGGCCACACACGGTAGCCCATGGCAACCCACTGCCACAGGGGCTGCAGCCTACGCCCTCCTGGGTGACTCACAGCAGCCCAGCTCCAGGTTGAGCTGTTGTTCAGCATCTTAGCTGTGGAGGGCAGTGTCACTGGCCCTCATATGTGGGATCCGAACCGGGGCCCTCTGGAGTCCCAAGCCAGCTCTTAACCATCGCGCCACTCGGCTGGCCCTCAAAGATATTTATAAACCTTCAGTATTTCGGTAGACCTGGTTAAAAAAATCAGCCATTTTGGAAACGAGGCCCCAAAATGAGCCCCGGTCCTTCAGAATCACCCGAGAGCTTTGACCGACCGGACTGGCCCACTGGCCACTTGAGGGAAGAAAGCTCTGTTTGATTTGCTGTCACTGCTGAGTGGGCCCCATGGGCTCCGTAAATTTAGGCGTTAACATGTGTGGGGGACGGTGACGCGTTGCCAATACTTTTTACCTGGAAGAGAAGACAGCACCAAGGTTGCAGGTTGGCTGCCTGATGGGACCCGGGCCCATTGTGCCAGATTTTGCAGCTATCCCTACGTTCTTCCCCTACCAACTTACACGTGTGATGTCCTGCGCCCTCCCTGACCCAGCTTTGCACTTGTGGATTAAATAAAACTGAGACACATGCTTACTGTTTAAGTAGAATAATCCTCGCTGATACTTGGAGGTCCTTCAAATAAAGGATTTAAACATTGAGGGCTCTTCTCGGCTTCTCTGGGCAGTATGGCGGTGGTGGTGATTGTTACTGCTGCTACTGATGATAATGTAGAAGAGAAAACCTTTTCTCTACCCTCTTAGGTTCAGTGACAGGGGTGGGTGAATTAAACTAACAAAAAAAAAACAGATGAACAGAGCCTAAAAATATTGGCATTTACTTGCTGTTAATGTTTTTGTTTTTATGTGCAATTAATCCGGGAGGGGGGATGTGATCAGGGAGTGCTTCCTGGAAGAGGCGCCATCTAGGCAAAGGGTCGGAATTAATCAGGCAAAGATGGAGAAATGAGTTTTCCCAGTAGAGGGACTATAATCACAAAAGCCCAGAGACAGGGGGAGTGTTGAGCAAGCCCACAGTGGAGCCGAGATGGCAGGTGGGAGAGAGAGGTCCCCAGTGACCCACAGTCAGACGTGAGGGGCCTCTCCAGGCTTTATCCTGAGGGCAACGGAGCGCCACAGAGGGTTGTGGGTACGAGTGTTGGTTGGTGCTTCAGGAAGATTAATTTGTGGCAGAACGCTAACACGTCACCGGCTGGGGAGTGGGCATAAGGCCGGAAACCTGCGGGTGGGCCAGTGCGGCGGCCGGCAAGGGGTGCCGACCGGTCTGTGCCAAGACAGTGGCGATGACAGAGGACGCTGGAAGTGGCCCAGGTGGTTAATGTTGGTTCTGGTTACAAAATAAGGCATGCTCCTAAAAGTGGGGCAACACAGCGCACTCAGCACCCAGGTGTAGGACCAGTCCCACCTCCCACTGCGCGTGGAGGATGCTGGGGACAGGCCACCCTGGCTGGGGGGTGGCACAGGGCACAGGGGCGGCCCCGGCGGGATGCGGCTTCCCCACAGGACGGGGGCGGCCTCGCTTGGCGTGTGTCTGGGTTCTTCCGTGGAAGCTCAGCCTAGACTGTTGTGCCCCCCGACACCTGGGAGCTTTCTTTATCCATCAAAAACAAAAAACAAAAAAAACCCTTTTGCTTAAAATACAGTGGACCCCACTGTCCGCAGCTAAGAACCCCGATGACATGTGCGAAATGGAGACTAACGGGCAAGGGGTTGGCATGGCAGGCTCAGAGCTGGACCTGGAGGGGACAAGGCCGCAAGTGGCTGATAGACAGAGGGACAGGCGGGGGGCGCCAGGGGACCGGAGGCTTTTCAAAACTATGTGTCAGAAATAAAGCCTAAAAGAAGCTTGGGCAAAGGAGGGCGTGGGGGCTCCCAGACAGGCCCCGGCTGTGGAAACGCAGCTGCCGCCTCCGGGAGGGGAGGGCTCCGGTGTGGGTTCAGGGAGCAAAAAGGTGACAGGATTGGATGGTGTTTCTCCATGGTCTTTGAAATTATGCAGTGATGGAGGACGACAGACCCACGCAGGTCCCCAAGCCATAAAGAAGAGGCCAAGTAACCAGCAGGTGGTGGAGGGTGACCGAGCGGAGAGGTGGCAGCTCGGGGGCCTCACGGGCACCCCGGGAACTGTCCTGCTGAGCTGGGGCCTGGTGCCCCTCCCTGGCGGCCTCTGCCAGGCCCTCCCCCGCACGGCCCCTGTCTCCCTCTGCCAGGGCAGCAGCCTGCCACCGGTTCCAGACCTTTCTGGGAGGAGGCTCGGGTGGGGCCGCCAAAGTCAACACAGCCGTCTCCACAGGCAGGCACTGGTCTGACACCTGCAGGCCTGGATTCTGGCCTCTCCTGGGTCACCTGGAGTTTCTCTCCCCTCCTCCGTGTTTGTGGTGCAGGCTTCTCACTGATCTTCAGGACCACAGGCCTGCTGGCCCCTTCGCCCCGCCCCCAAGGCCCAGACGAGCCCTGGAGAGTTAACCTTCTAACAGAAACTCTCGCACCCCCACCCCGCAAAGCATGACTTCCCTCTCCCAGGTAAAAGCCCTGACCTGACATGACCCTCCCACACTTCGCTGTGGGCTCCTGGAAACCCTCTGCCACTTCCCCCAATCCTGACTGCTGTACGTGACGCTCACCCAAGCCTTGTCAAGACCCCTGGCAGGGAAGGGCCGGCTGTAGCCCAGACCTCCAGCTGCCAGCACATTCTCCACGCGAGAGGCCGTCACACCAGTGTCCAGGTGGCCGGCCCTCCGAGGTGACCAGTGAAGTAGGCCTGTGTTATAGGGAGGTTATGCTTGTAACGTGGGGGGCGACGGTGCATCTGGCACTTTCTGCTGCTCTTGCTCCCAGGAGGAACCGTTCTGGTCTCTGGAGGCCCAGCCTCGGACCCTGGACATGCATCTCCTGGGTTCCTCGGGCCGAGTCCAGCTCCCTGCCCTACAGCTGCCCCTGACCCAGAGGTCACATGGGGACAGAAGATGGTAGGGAGGCACTGGGTTGGGCAGAATCCCCACCAAACCAGACTTCCCACCCTTGCTCTGGGAGGGGAGCAAAGCTCTCGCCCTCTCCAGGGAACTGATTTGTTTTGCAAAATCTGAGGGTGTTTTGTGCCCAGGCCCAGGCAGCTATGAGAGCAGGTGATGGCAGCAGGCCACCCCGCACTGGACAGGGTGTCTTTCCCACTTCCAATGTTCTCCAAGCCTCCCAACCCCCAGACACTCTGCACCCCAAATCCCTCACTCTCTACCCTGGTACCTGTTCACTCAGGTGTGGGAACCTGGCAAGAAGGAGCCAGCCCTTCCCCTAAACAGAGGGGGGCCACTGAACCCCCCTATGCAGCCTCATAGGGATAAAGCCTACTGGCATTTGGAGCAATTTGGAAAGGGGCCCCCTTGTACCTCTCTGGGTTCAGCGTGCCCCCCGGGCGGGCAGCGGGATGTCACCAGTGCCCTTTGCCCGTCAGGGGCAGCTTGGGGGGAGCCACCAGCTGCCTTGCCCAGCACTGCTCTGCCCCTCCCCACTCGGGGCAGGGCAGTCCTTCCTGTCCCCCAGAGGCTCCCTGCCGGGGCGGTCCCCAGACTGCACAAAGCGCCCTTTGTCTGGGTTGAACACAATTGTTCTCCCCTTTATGGAAACACAGGCTGCGTCTGGTAATCAGGCTCTCAGGGGCGGGATCAAAGGGCGCTGCAGGGGGTGCTGGGGGCATGGAGCTGTCCCTCCAGCTGCTGGCAGCCTGTCATCTCCCTAACCCTCCCTGCCCAGAGCGCACTGAACCCACCTTGCTTCCCTGGGCTGGGCTGTGGGAGCCTTGGAGGGGAAGAGAGCTGGGGGGCCAAGGAGGACAGGGTGGGTCCCCCCTCCTGGCACCCAGGGCTCCGTTTACAGGCCTGCCAGCGCGGCACTGGGTGTGAACGTGCAGAGACGCACCACCTGGGGAGAAAGGGTGGTGCCTGGCTTGGCCCCGAGGCCAGCCCCACCGCTGAGATCCTCAGTGTGTGTGGGGGGGGCAGCCCCTCAGACTCCCAGGGGCCTCTTCTCCCCATTTGCTCTGGCACAGGGCGAACCTGCCCACAGCCTCTGCCTGTCACCAGCTGCAGCTGCCAGCCCTTGTCTGTACCACACCTTGCCTGTGGCCCTCCCCACTTTCCCCCACCCCCACGTGGGAACAATGGGGGGGGCTGGCCTCCAGGGGCCTTCCCTTTGCCACCACCGACGTGTCCAGGGCTGCAGACTCAGGACACGCAGCCTCAATGAGTGGATCCCACGTGCCTTTTTTCAGAGCCCCACAGAAACAAGTCCTAGGTCACATGGTGAACGAAAGCAGCCCTCCTCCAAGGCTGGTGCCTCCTGGGCCAGCGTTACAATCAGAGCACAGCGACCACATGATCAGAACTGGAAGGGGCCTGAGGGACAGAGCCAGGGGCCTGTGACCACACTCGCCCAATCGCGTGCACGGCTTTCTTTATTCCAGGGAGATCATAGATTTTGTCGGTATTTCAGAATCACGGAAGGACCGCCCACCTAGCCCAGTCCACATCATTTCACAGTTGGGGAAACTGAGGCTCGGGGAGGGGCGGTCTCTAGCAGGCTTAGCGGTACAGCCGCCACAGGGGCGGGTCCCTCCTGTGTGCTCTGTGTGACTTGTCTCCCTGCCGGCAGCCACTCACTGGGATTTATGACCTTCTCCAAGGTGACCGTTAATTAAAATGTCCTGGAGACCCAGTCCCTCCCCTGAGGAAGCTTACAATCAAACAGAGATGGACGAGATAAGAGCTGACATGGGGATTTGAACAAACAGGCAACCAGTGCACTGGGATTCCATCAGAAACACGCCCAAACAGCACGCAGGAGAACCGGTATGGGATGGAGGGGGTCTCCGTGCTGCCCTGCAGCCAGGCTGGTGTGGCAGGCGCTCCACTCCTCTGCCCCTGACTGGGGCACAGGGTCGGGAATTCTGGGCGACTCCCAGATGAGATACTCGAGGGACCCACGGGGGGCCAGGGCCAGCAGACCAGCGGGCCAGCAGCAGAGCACGTAAGAACAGAGCCCCAGGCTGGGCCGTGGTGTGACCTGGGCCCTGCAGACACAGGGAGGAGGCGTGAGTCCGTGAGCGAATGCGTTTGGGACCAAAGCAGAGAAATGAGGCTGAATGGCTACGCCAGCCGGAGAGCCACGCTGTAGGACCAGAGCCGAGGCCCCCCGGGAGCTCAGGAGAGACGCAGGCTGCCCGTCAGGGGACTGTGACACAGGCTCCTTGCTGTGCTGGAAACCTGACTTGGGGGCAGAGTGACTGAGACTGGCGAGCTTGCTCAGTGCATCCCACCGCTCTTATCAGCTTTCCTGAAGCTGTATCTCCCTGGACTTCAAACAGCTGCCTCTTATCTTCGCCCAGCCCAGGCACTTATCAGGTTCTAGAATAACAGCTTTCCAGGCTGCTAGGAGCCCAGTGCCAGGTCTGCAGCCTGGCGTGGGGAAGGAGACTGCCCCCCCTTTACCACCAAGGCCCACTCTCCCAGCCCCCCGGGGCCCCTCAACACCGTCTGACGGGCTGAACCTCCATCAAGCCACCTGGGTCAGGGTGAGAGCTAAACAACGCAGCCCAGGGGCCCACTGGCCTCACTCACCTGTTAAGGGACAGGTGCTAACCCCCCTGGGCCCCCACGTCAGGCCTCCTCTGAGAATATCCCGTCCACAACACCCTTCAGTGAGGGCGAGACGCTTGCCATGGAGAAGGGTGCCTTGGTCCACCCTGCCCTGAGAAGTCACCTCTCCCTTGCCCAGGACCAAGCCACCCTCAAGACTTCGAAGCCAATGCCCAAGGGGAGATGGGTCTCTGTGCGGCATGGCCAGGCCTGGGGTTCAGCCTCCTCACCATCCCCAGTGCAGACAGACCCCCCACGGAGCTCAACGCGCGTCCAGGAGGCCAGCGCTGGCACCGCCTCACCCACCTCGGCCCAGGCCCTCCTGAGACAGGAGCAGGGGGCCAGGACGCCCCACACTTTGGGGACAGGGGCAGGAGAGGGGCACAGCATTACAGGCACACAAGGACGCCCCGCCATCTCCCCTGCATTTTCTGTAGGGATGTGTATAAACTTGGGGCCCTGGACACTTCTGGGGACATCTGTCAAAGTTGGCTAGACCTCCCTACTCCCTGGCACCATCACACCTTGAAGCAGGTGCCAGAGAGAGCAGCTCAGTCAGAGGCAGAATTAGGGACACCAAGCCGACGCCCCCCCGCCATGGTCTGTCAGTCGGCACAGGCCTGTCTGTGTGACCAGAACAGAAGGACAAAGTGCCAGGACCCAGAGGAGGCGGGAGACGGGGGTCTTTCAGATCAGGCACGGCCTGCTGAGCTGGGTCACAGAGCTTGGACTTGACCCTAGAGACAAAGGAAAGTTGTCAAAGGCTTAAGGGGGGGACAGACAGCAGCAAACGTGCAGGTTGGGAGACCCTCTGGCTGTTGTGGGTGGGGCAGGACCTCCGAGGGGACAGACATAGACACGTCAGGGCTGCAGGAGACACGTGGGCACCTGGAGAGAGCCCGCAAGTGCACACGTATTTGCTCAGTACGAAGACACTGAACGCCAACTTCCTAGCATATGGAGGGTCCTCAGAAGTTTTAAACTGTGAAAAAAGGGTCTTCGTGCCGCAAAGGCTGGGCAGGCCTCCCGCTGCCGGGTGGGATGCAAACCCCTTTCTGGGCCTGGGGCCCGGCCTACTGCTCCAAGCCCGGTGCCCCATCCGCACCCCCAACCCCTGCCCTGGGTGACACAGCGCCCAGGCCTCCACTCCAAGGGGCAGGCCATCCCCTCTGCCCCCTCTGCCCTCTCCTGGGCTGCAGCCAGCAGCTGTCACTGGGCCTGGCACAGGGCAGTCTCTCGATCGATATGTTTGTTTTATACACAGCAGAGCTAATCGTGCCGTTCGTTACCTCCCACTGCATGGAATTTGGCTCCCAGGTTCTGCAGTGACCTGGTCGCTGGACTTCTCCACCCAGGCCGCGCTCCCTGAGGGCTGGGACCAGGTCTCTTTGGCGTTGGTGTCCCCCCACCTGGCAGAGAGGAAGCACTCAGTCCGTGCTTGTGGATGGCTGACGCCTGTCTGAACCCCTCTTAGCGCTCCCTGCCCTGACCTCCTCCACACTGTCTGCAGCCAGTGGTTCCTCCAGGGGCCTCAGGCAAGTCCGGCCCCAAAGCCCAGCTGCACCGTTTAGCGACGGCTGGGGCGCCCTCGGCTCCCACCTCCACCTGGGAACTGCGGGCAAGGAGGGCACAGACCCACCGGGGAGACGGACGGCGCCCTCAGCCGAGACTGGCAGCCGCCAAACCAGGGCCGACCTGCTGTTTCACACCTCGAAGGACACCTCGTCCTCGGAAGGCAAGGCGCCCGGGTGCGGCAGACAACAAGCACCTCCAAAGTGAAGACGATGACCAGGATGGTGACAGCACCCGAGGGGCCTCGAGGCTGCCTGGGGGGCGTGTGCACTGGTGGGGCGGGCCAGCCAGGCTCCCTGTATCATGTATTATCCAAGCCGGGGGACTGCTGTTAACAGTTACAGGGGAGCAACGGGCAGAACAGGGAGGCCAGGTCTCATGTGATAAGTGTCATGACTGTGATGCCGGCATCGGCCCTTCGCGGGCGTGGTGTGACCTCATTTGATCCTCACAGAGGTGGAATGACCTGTTTTACAGGTGGGTGGCCACCATTTTACAGGTGACTAGATCAAGGCATAAACCAGCTGGGAAGTGTGTCTCCAGTCGCCCAGACGGCAGCAAAAACTGATCGCAGGCTGTATGCCGTGTGGGAACACGACGTGGGCCTGGCTGGGACCTGAGACCCCCCCCTTCCCCTGAAACCCTGCCCACCTGACCCCAGGAGGCAGTGTGCCCCAGCCCTCCTGGAGCAGACCGTCCCTCGCCGGCAGTCCTTCCTTCTCTTGAGCCCTCACAACCCTGTCCGAACCCATCCCCTGGCGGCCCTGCCATGCACACCCCCTCAGCTACCAGCTAAGACCCCAACCCAGGGTGTCTGCTGAGCTCCAGACCGCACACCCAGGGGCTCCCGGCCACCTCCTTGTCCCTCGTCTTGAAGCAGAGTCCCCAGAAGGGGCTGAGCTGACCTCTCGCAGGGAGGTCAGCACACATGCTCCCATGGGGTCCTCTCGGCACAGCTTCTGACGGCTGCTGGGCAGCCAGAAATGGACAAATGGGCTGTGCTGACAGCGCTGACGCAGCGTGACATGGAGCAGGGTCTCCTGAGAGCACGCTAAGTCAGAGTCAGGGGTGGGAGACGTTTCTCGTGGGGGCAGGACGGTGACAGGGCCATGCTGGTGGCAGTGCAGGCCCAGGGGAGCCTCAGAGGGGCGAGCGGGGGGCTCAGCGTGAGTGTCACCTCGCAGGCCGTCCCCTGTGGGGCCGCAGCCAGGACTCTACACCACCCCCCATATTTACTGGGTGTGGGTACCCCAATTTTGTAAATATTTAGTAAAAAATAACAAGGTCTGCTTGATTAGGCTTTTTGGCCCTGACTTCTTTAACTCTGGTGACAAGGCTGTCACTTCACCACCCCCGGCAAGGAGGACACCTTTCTTCCACAGGTTTTTGTTCTGCATCCAAGGGAACAAGGGGGGGGGCACCAAGCCCCTCCTGCACCCGCTGCTTCTCAGACAACTTCAGTCAGAATGATCAACATGCCACCGGCGACGTCGAGGGCCCTGCCTGGGCCCCGACAGCACGCACCCCACACCCAGTGTCTGTTACCAGCATCTGACACCCACATGGCACACTGGTCACGGGTCATTAACTGAAGTCCAGGGCGGGCTTGGTCTCTCCCCCGTGTCCTCTTCTGTCCCAGGGTCCCATCCAGGGACCACAGGGAACTGTCACCTCGTCTCCTCAGGCTCCTCTTGGCAATTTCTGGTGCTTCCTCACTTCAAGCATTAGAAGCTTTTGTCCCGGTGACCCCAGTTCCACAAGCCACCGTGACAGGGACACCTCTGCCGTGGTGTCCCTAATGCCCTCCAAGGTGTTCTTGTCCACAGCGAGTCTGCACAGTGTCTATCAGGCCACCGCCGTAGGGGCTTTCTCGGGAGCCAGTCGATTCTCTGCTCTGCACCCCTTTCCCCGGAGTACCCCATTGCTCCCTGCCTTGAACCCCCATAGCTCTGGTCATTCATTCATTCTTCACTGGTTGTTCATGTTTAAATGAATGTCTACAGAGCGGGCGCTGTGCCCGAGGCGCTGAGGCTTTGCAGCGAGCGGCGAGACCCCAGCCCTCTCTGCGGCCGGTCGCGGCCCGTGTGGTAGCACAGTCAGCCGTGCGTGTATTTATTTGTCCGACAGACTTTAACTGAGCCTCTCCTCGGTGCCAGTCACGGTGCGAAGTGCTGAGCGCACAACGGTGCCCGGGACACAGTCCCCGACTACTGGTGGTGGCCGAGGCTGGCGCATCAGCCGACAACGAGGAAGCCGCGTGGTTTGGGCTCTCACGGTCAGATGGACGGAGAGAAGGACGGACAAGGGAGAAAGGAGAGGGAGCGATGGGGGGTGGGGGGCGTTGTGTAGGAATTTGTGTCCACGCCTCGTGTCACCGGAGTCTAGGCCACAAGGACAGAAGCTGCCTGATCCCGCCTGGTCTGGCACACACGTCGGTGCTCCACAGGTGTTTGTTACCTCATGCAAACCTGTCCCCCGGTGGTGGCCAGGTACATCGGGGGCTCCCGGTCAGGCCTGCCGCGCCCCCATGCCACTGACCACACACTCAGGGCTCCACTCGCCTCTAGGGTGCCGGGTCCTCCCAAAGCCCCCACAAGCCCCTTATGGGCTCAGCAGGGCCTGTTCCTCCAGAGAAAGGGCCGTGGGGAATGAAACCAGAAAAGGCAGTTTTACCAGCTCCCCACCCGCCTCCATTCCCCCAGGTTATGTTTCCAGTGAGGCTCCCAGGGTTCCCAGGACACACACACACTCTAATCTCATCAATCTGCCCTCCCGGGGAGCCCATCTGTGCAGACCAGACCAGGGACACGGTGGCCAGCCCGGCCTCCGCAGGTGCTGTGGCAGAGATGACCACCCAGCTGAGGGCTCTGTTGGGTTCGTGACTCCCGCCGATTTGCAGAGTGCTGTCACCCAGCTCAGCCGGCCACCGGCCACCAGAGTGGACGTGCTGCTCGGTCCTCTGGCCCCGGGCCCACACCACAGCCGCCCCCACACAAGCAAGCCGGCTCCGGTTATACCGTGTGTCCAAGGTTACAAGGGCTGGTCTGGGTGGAGGGCCTCGCCCCATTCCCCAGGAAGCGGGTGGGGGGTGAACACAGCAGCCCGGTCTGAGGTCTCCAAGAGCAGTTAGGGTGCGGCGGCCTGGTCGTCATAGGTACCTCCTCCAGGGTCACTGCTTGAGGCCCCGTCAGGCTACTCTGGGCTTGTCCGTACTTGCTTTCTGCACCTAAGGCAGCCTCGGTGCAGCCCAGCCCTTCCCTTACCAACCCCCCAGGCCTGGGAAAGGGGTTCCGGAATGGCGCGATCACAGTGGCCATTGGTCATCAGGGCCTGTGCCCACTGCTGCGTTACCAGCCTGTGAGCGAGCCTCCAACACCGCCACGTCCTCTCGTTGTCACATAATCCACCAGCAAAACACAACGCAGGCCGCCTGTCCCTCACTGCCTCCCTCCCTGGGCCACCGCCAGGCCCGCCTGCGCCCCTGCGCCCTCCACACGGCCCCCCAGTGAGAGCCACCATCCGGTGGGGCTCCGCCCGCCCCCTAAGAGTGACAGCCTGCTCTTCACTCCTGGGCCAGCCGCCCCTCCGCCTCCTCTGTCCCCCCTGGGTCCCCGGGCACTGCTGGCTTGAGCACACAGCTGTTCTGCCCCTCAAAAGCACCCCACTTGCCTGTCTCCAAGCCCAGCTCCCCTTCCCTGTTCCCAGAGGTCACGTGTTCCCCAGGCAGGTCCTCGCTCACATGTCACGGCTAGGAGAGGCCTCCCTCCAACTCCCTGAACAACACAGAGCCTTCTGGACTGTGCCCCCAGCACGTCACCCTTCACCCCATCATCAGAGCACTTACCCTCAGGCAAAATGCCTTGGTCTCCTCCTTGCCTTGGCTGTTACCTGCCCCGAGGTCCCGAGGGCACACACCTTCTCTGTCACGGTCACGTCGTATCTTCAAATGAGAGCTGCTCGGTGGAGACGTTTCTGAGGAACGAGTGACATGAACATTTTACACGGTGTCCCCCACACTTACACCGAACCCCAAGCCTCCCAGGCTTCTGTGACATACTGGCGATGGTGACACGTGGTTGAAATATCATTGGGCAACAGAAAGGAGTGAGGTACGTGCTGCTACGCAGGTGAACCCTGAGGACACGAAGCCAGGCACAAAAGGCCACATGTCCTACGGTCCTGCTTGTGTGACGCGTCCACAACAGGCAAACCCACAGACACAGAAAGTGCGTTGGTGGTTGTCGGGGGGGGGGGGGGGGGGACGACGGGGATGGACTGCTAACGGGTGTGGGTTTCTTCTGGGGTGACGGGGAAGGTTCTGGAATGAGATAGTGGAGGTGGCTGCACAGCTCTGTGAAGGCACCAAAAAGCACTGCCCTGCACACCTCAGTACAGCTGTTAGTCTTTAAAAGCAGTACATGGTTATTATATGATTCAAACGGTGCCAAACAAGGTAAAAAGAAATGAAAAATCATCTTAAATTACACCCCTAGAGATAACAAGTGATAACCCATTGGTTGGTGTTTATCACATTTCTCTGTGCACACAAACACACAGACAGACAGACAGACACACAGACACAGACACACACACACACACACACACACACACACACACACAGTTGCCCTCAGACTTTCTTGAGACGAAAACACGCCCCGGGAACCTGGGCTCACACTGTGCTTAAGGGTCACATCCGGACAGGACTGTGGTGATGGGAGAGGCCGGGGGTCAGGATTGAGACCCTCCAGGCCCCCCCTAACATCCTAAAGAATCACGGGAAATCTTACATGAGAGGCGTCTCATCACAGATGCCTTGCTGTCCGCTGCTCTCCTCACACACCCCTCCATCCTGACAGCGAATATCTGGAGCCTGCGCACCCGTCAAGGGCGCATCCGTCGCGCGTGGACACCGCGGGGAGAAGGGGGCTGACGCAGGGGTGGGAGGGGGGCTGCCGGGGCGCCCACCAGGGTGCGTGGCGGGCAGGGAGCACACACAGCTGACTGTGCAGAGCACAGAAGAGGCCGGACAGAGAATACGTCACATGAACTCGGTGGTTAATCCCAGTGGAGGAAGAAACGTCTCCCACTGAGTCACACCCACCGAAGGCCCCGGTCCTGCACCTGCCTGGAATGCACCTGGGACTGCAGGCGGCCTGGGGCCAGGCACACGCGGCTCTTCTTTGGGGACAGAGCCGGCTCTTCTTTGGGGACAGAGCCGCTGCCTGCTGACTTTCCACGCGATGGGCCTCCCCTGACCCCTCCACCCCTCGCCAGGTCCAGCCTCCGCAGCCACCGTGCTGTGTGCGGCCTCTGGTCAAGGGGGCCAGTGGCTCAAGCGTGGCCCGTACTGCCAGCTGTCTTCTGTCTCTGCCTAGACCTCAGCCTCCTTCTAGGAAATGCCCACTGAGGAAGGAAGTCTTGGCCTCCTGCCTCTGGGGACGTGGACGTCACTCCCTGGCCTGCCTGGGCTGAGTCCCCAGGGGTATCTTGTGCTCGAGCTGGCGAGTGCCTGGCACCAGTGCTGCCATGGAAGGAGACGGCTTGCTCCCCAGGCCCCAGTCACCTGCGCCCCACCCCCAAGACTCTGCACGACCTGTCCTGCAGGTGTGTCTGGCCGGGAGCCAGCAGAGGCCAGCGCCCAACTCCCTTACGGGAAGGACGGATGTAAACAGAGGACAAGGGGCAGGTGGAGGACAAAGGCAGCGGGCTTTCATTGGCACCTCACTCAACCACAGGCTGCTCACATCACACCCCACAGGGGCTGGCACCGGGGACCAGGACGTGCCCCCCGAGGTGTGGCACACAGTGCCGGGACCTGCCCGTTTACCCCCCACGATTCTCGTGGGGCTGCCCAGGCCCACCTGTGTCCCTCCCAGCCATGGCTTCCACTCCAGGTGAGGCCCTGCCAGCTAGCCGAGGGCCAGGACACGGCTAGCCGGCGACGGTGCTCAGTCATTGGCCAGAGCGTGCCACATGGCCGGTCGGAGCTGAGCAGGCACTCTAGGTTTCGTTTTCCATTTGGGGGATGTGAGAGTCCTTGGAGGCCAGAAGGCTGAGGACATGTGGAGGGACTCAGCCGCCATCAGCTGAGAGCCAGGGTGGACGGGGACGGTGGTCCCGCGTCTCAGGGCCACAGCCTTTAGGGCCGCAGGAAACAGGACCTCACCCCGCACTCTGCGGATATTCACACCTACGCGCCCCCAGCCACTCCTTCAGGTGCCCGAGTCCCCAGCGACCCGGAGACCCCTGCCTGCCCACGTGTGCGTCCTGCTCGTGGGACAAGGGATGTTAACGGACACGCCTCGGTGTGCTGTGCATTAGATGGTGACGGGAGCTGGGGCGGGCAGGGTGGGGGGGTGTCTCAGGGCGGCCTCCTACCTGAGATGAGAGTATTTGAGTAAAGGCCTGAGGACAGTGTGGGAGCACGCTGGTGAACCTCCAGGGGACAGCACGGGCCGAGCAAAGAGGCCACACGAGACCCCAGGGGCACCGGGGGAGCACAGCTGGTCTCCAGCCAGGACCTCCGAGGGGCTCCGTGTCGACTTTAAGGACAGCAGAGGACACATCGCTGAGGCGCGGCCGGGACCGCTCTCTGCCTGCTGGGCTGCGGAGACAGATATTACCATGTTATTACGTGTCATTATACGCACTGTATTAACACTAGCACCTTATTATTACAGGTTAGCTGTTAGTTTATAAATTTTGAAAATTGTGATGCAACATACACAGCATAAAAGTTACCGCTCTCACCGCTTTGAAGCACACACTTGGGTGGCACTGGGCATGCTCTCGCTGTCCTGTGACCACCCCTCTCCTCTTCCCAAGCTGGAACTCTGTCCCCAATGAACACCAGCCCCCCAGGCACCCTCAGTGTCGGCCCCTTTGCGTCTGGCTTCCTTTACTGGTCATGCAAAGGGGAGCCTATTTCAAGGGAAACCGTGAGGACAAGTCATAGTTGAGGGGGTCTGCCGATGAGGCAGTGGCACATGGCGACAAGACGGGGACCGTGTGGCTGGGCAAGCTGAGGACCTGTCCCGGCTCTGGACGGGCGGCTGCAGGGGTCCCGCTGGGAGCAGGGCAGCAGCAGCGAAGCAGGCAGACAGGCCAAGCGTAAGGTCCCCCTCCAGGGGACAAGCGGGTGTCACTCGACTCTCCCGGGAGACTTCGCACTCCCTGAGCCCTCGGCATAGGGCTGGCCGTCCACTCTGTAAACGCCCGATGGGCCGCTGATGGACGGCTCAGTCTACGGGCTGTGCCTCCACAGCGCCCTGGACCCACGCCAAGCTCCCTCCCGGGGCCGTTTTCTCCCACCTGTCTGGCTGGGCAGGGACTTTGAACTGCTGCTGACCCAGATTCAGCCAAGAAACCAGTGACTGGCTGCCCCACATCTCCAGGACCTGAGTCATTAGGGAGAGGATGCTTAGGGCAGGATCTGAGCGTGGGGGGAGGGGGGCCCCTTTGCATAACTGGGGTGGCTTTTCATGCATCGAGCGCTGTGTTTTGGCCGTGTCCTACGGAGATGGAAACCCCAGCATCCTGCAGCAAAGCCTGACTGAGGACCCCGGCGCCCTAAACACGTGCCACCCCCTGTGCCCGATCGTCCTCCCCTCGCTCCTGTCCCCAGCCCGGCACCCCACCTCTGCTGGCACCCTCCCTGCCCCCCCCTTTCTGCCTTCCCATGCCAGTTCCTTGCACCCCAGACCCTGTCAGCCCTCAGGGAGTGGGGCCTGCGATGAGCTGGTCCACGTCCAGGCAAGATGCCACCTTTCACCTCTCGACTAGAGCTGAAGGTCCCTGCCAGAGGTCGCCAGTCAGGGGGTCAAAGGTGATACTTAATGGACACGAATGTCTTCATGAAATACGAGGTGGCTACATCCATTCACTCATCAGGCACGTTTTCTGTTCCCAAGCTTCCACCTCTAAATGACAAAGGCCACCCTCCAGCTTCCGGCCGTGCACCCCTTCTGGGACGCCTCACAGACGGCCCTCCAGGACCACGGGCCCCACTCCCAGCCTCTGTGAGGCCCTTCAGGCGGCCATGTCCCCCAGTGTGCCCTCAGCTCCTCCTGCCGCCCCGCCCCAAAGCCAGCGTGTGGGTTGCCAGTGCTGTCTGTTTTATGGCAGCGTCACACCCCCAGGGCTGTCTGTCCGTTTTCTTCTGCTGCACCAGTGACGTTAACACAACATCACTTTTTACTATTGTCTTTCATGGTCCTTGGGGTTGTCTGGGCCCAGTTTAGTGGGTCTGCCATTCAGGGGAGGCGGATGGTGGCCGGGGCTGAGGTCGTTTTGAACTCCCCTTCCCGGGGACCGTGCCGCCTCTGGCTGGTGGCTAGCGCCCCGTTCACGTCTCTCTGTGCAAACGGGGCTGTTTCCAGCCTCTTTTCCTTTTCACACGATCACACCATGTGACCCCATCTCTGTGGCCTGCGAGCCCCCACTCATCCTCCCAGAACCCGCTACACTGGTCCCGGGGTCTGCACCATGCCCTCTGGTTTCAGAATCGCTTGGTGGTGACTGTCATCGCATTGTTTATCCCCACATGTGGTCAGTGTCTGCTGACCCAGATGACTTCACAAGGGAAGAGTCCTTGTCCAGTTTCCTTTATGCCGCCAGTGCCCGACACACAAACGAGTTCTCGGTGAGTCGTTTTTAGTGGGTGCGTAGTATTCCAGGTTACATGTACATGAGCCATGCCGCAGCTGACATATCCCAAATAGCAGACGTGTCGTTTGCTTCACTTGCTTTGAATTACTAGTGTTTATTTTTCAAAATAGAAAAAGCGTTTTGTCTTCTTTTTTTGTTTTAAGGGCAATACAGGCTTATTGTGACAGAAAACTCAGGCAACACAGACAGGCACGGAAACAAACAAAAATCTTGTTGTCGCCCCGCCATCCAAAGGCAACCGCTGCTATCAAGCCGGTGTATTTCTTCCCAGGCCGTTCCCAGTGCACACGGGAACGTGTCATCCTTACGTTTGAAAAACCAAAACTGAGACATGCAAACATGCTGCTGTACAAACAGCCCTCTTCACCTAACGGCACGTCGCCAACAACATTCCATGTCGTCAAACTCTCACGTGTCATTTCCTAGTCATTCCACAGTGTTCATGGTGCGTGCGTGACCATTTATTTAACAAATCCCCTCTCCTTGGGCATCTTGGTTATTGCCATGACTCTCCTTGCAGATACATCTTTGTACATGTATCTGATGATTTGCTGAAAATAGATTCCTTGAAGCTGAGCTGTTGGCACATTTCAAACTGCCAACATTGACTTACTACCTGACTAACCTGGCCTAAGTCCTCTGTGCCATGGTTTTCTCACCTGTAAAATGGGGATGAGGCCGGCCCACCACACCAGGGGGCTGTGACGATTTAGAATTTGCACCTGTACAATACTCACAACATCTGGCACGTAAGACCCTCTCAATAAAGTGGCTTGGTTTTTTGGTTCCAGTATTTTATTTTTTAATTTTTTAAAGTGTTGCAATGGTCATCCTTGCACCAACAAAAAAGTATATCTGGAGGGTAAGTCGCCAGACAGGAGGCACAGCCCTGAGAACAGTTCTCGGGCACCTAGGGAGGAGCCGTTGATGGGCCACAAGAGGCCAGCGTTTAGGGCCATCCGGGGTCCCTTCCATCCTCACCGGCTCTAGACATCAGGAGCATTCTTCTTATTTTTTGGCCCGTTTGATGTACGAAAGGTAGCTGCTCGCTCTTCAAACAATGATGGGGAAGAAAGTGGATGCTCCCATCTGCACCCTCCACACTGATTCTGGTTTCCCGAACCCCAGCCTTGGCCCAGCCCGCCGCGGTCCCTCACGGTTAGAAACCAGCCCGAGAACCCGGCTTGTGACCGCAGGACTCCAAGTCCCAGCATGCCTTGCAAATACTTGGGTCAATGAGGAGGGACTGAAGGATGCTGGGACTTTCCCCTCCCGTGCTGCTGCCTTGCTGCCTGGGTCACTGAGGCTGGCAGGTGTGGAGGTGGGCAGGTGAGGCAGTCATGTGGGGCACTGGGTGTGGCTTCTTGGATTAGCTCCAGAGTTGACACGAAGGTTCCAGTAACGGGTGGCTGAGCTTGGCTAATTGCTGCTGCTGCTGTCCCAGCCCAGCCCTGCACGTAGCCGGAGAAGGGGGAGGGGACTGCAGAGCAAGGGCAGGAGGGGACACTCCCAAGAGATGGCCCTCGGAGGAGCTCAACAGTGGAACCCGCTCTCTCCCCATCCCCCCAGAGGCAGGTCGGGCAGGCGTCTCACCTGTGTGTCTCACCCGTCGCACCTGCAGGCTGGTGGTGATTTCAGGCATCTGAGCCGCAGGAGGACGCTTGTGCTGCTCAGCCCCTCAGCACAGAGTCAATTGTGGGGCGGAGGAACGGGCCAGGAAGCCAGGACTCCAGCCCCAGTGTCCTCCGCGCGCCGGCGGAAAGCCCGAGCCGCCTCCTCCGTGTCTGCAGCGCCGGGTCCTGTGGAGGGAGGGCTGGTCCTACCTTGCACACTTCTTGGCAGGTTTGCAGAGATGTCTGAGGGATTTCTTAGGCTCTAGCCTCGGCTCCTTGCAACCCTGGTGTCCTCGTCCCTCCTGGGTCCCCTGTCGTCCGCATGGAGCCAGGCGCGCTCGGGCAACACTCACAGAGAATGGATGAATAAGCACTAACTTGGCACACTGCGTGGCACCTCGTAGGTACTTACTAAGGGGACATGCTGTGTGACTCTGAGCAAGTCACCTTCCCTCTCTGTGCCTCGGTGTGCTGGTCTACACAACGGGACTTGTTCACCCGGACCTGGTGCTCCGTTCCACAAATCACGGGTAGATGGCTACAGGACCAATTTAGGCCTGTCCTTCCTGCGGAGATGGGGGTCAAGGGGGGGGCAACAGGGGGAGAGCTGAACTGGTTCTCCCTCAGCAGGAGAGGGGTGCCTGCACAGGACAGGGCTGCTGGCCGGTGCCAGCCTCTGGCTGAAGCCGTCACCAATAGTCTGGTGTGCAAGTGCCCGTGACAATGGCCTACACTGAACTGGGCAAAAGTGGTGTGGACGTGAGACAACCAGACCCTCCCTTAGTGTCAGGGGCTCTTGCTCGCCCCACCCTCCTAGTGGAAAGGGCTGGCTGGGCTCCAGACTCACCAGTTCTGCCAGATTTTCTGATTTCTGAAGAGAAGCCACACATCCAAGCTAGCCTCTGAGAATTTTCCCGATTTTTAACAGCTGGCAACTTATTCCTGTTTTTGTGACTGCTGCGGACACACCTGCAGGAGAAGGTGTGGGTGTAGGGGGGGCAGCTCTGAAAAGCAGGGGGCCGCAGGCAGCAGGGCTGGCCGCTCGGGCGGGCGACATGTGCCCTCACACGGAGAACCGTGCTCGGAGGAGCCCTGGGCTTGGTTTGTGCTCTGGAACCTTTCATAACTTCCACAGGGGTCCAGGCTCTGCACTGGGGCCCTGCACATGTGCAGCTGGTCCTGCAGGGAGGGCAGGCCTGAGCCCACCTGTGGGAGAGGGTCCGGGGCCAGGCAGTGCTTCCAGGAGGGGTCGGCGGGCCCCCAGGGAGGGGGTGAGCCGTGTAGGCAGAGGGCTGAGGCCACATGAGCCTGGGGGATTAGCCCGCTGTGGGGAGCTGTGTGTGTGTGTGTGTGTGCATGTGTGTGACGGGGTTTGTGTGGCTGTGGTGTGTGTGTGTGTGTGTGTGACTGTGGTTTGTGTGACTGGGGTGTGTGACCGTGCAACAGCGTGTGTGCGAGGTGTGCTGAGGGGGAGGTGGTGGCCGGGGCAGGGAGAGTCACAGGGCTGTTTAACAAATATTTGTCGGCACCTTCTCTGTGCCAGGCGCTGTGTCTGGGGCTGGGATGAGTAACCCTGTCGCTGCCCAGCGGCGCTGACAACCCGCTCAGGGAGAGCCGTGGAAACAGGTAACTGGAAAGAAAGGGCAGATGGAAATCAAGCCTCGATACAAGCAGCCACTCTACCCACCTCGCCCAGGAGGGCAGGTGAAGCTAGGTGTCCCCTGAAGTGGGTGGGCTGGGGGAGAATCCGGGAAATATCCTGGGGAGGCTTGCGGGCAGGCACACCCAAACTCAGGCGGGTGACCTCCCTCTGACCTGCCCAGCAGCACACCCAACCCCACAGAAGCAGATAAGAGGTGACCAGCAGCTCAGGGCAGGATCGAAGTGGCCCGGCCACACCCAGGCGGAGGCCCCTGGGGACTCTGGGTGGGAGCCTGCAGGCCCGCTCTGGTGAGAGTCGGGAGTAAGGGTGGCTGATACCCGACAGAGAGGGTGAGAGGGTGCCCGGGACTCTGCCCAGCTCTGCAGGGCCCTGGGGGACACAGAGCAATGTCAGGTGAAGACATCCTGAGTAAGAAACACATCTCTGTGGAGAGCAGAGGACCCCTCCTGCCCCTGGCACTGCCCAGGTGCCCCCAGACCCTGCACAGAGCGGCCACCTTGGCTCCCACCTGGAGGCAGGAGTCCTGGGCTCTGGTGCCGTCCTCACCTGGACAGTGACCTTGGACCGGCCACCAGCTCCATCAGGGACATAGGCTGTGGTGCAGACCACATGAGATAATGGGGCGAGGAAAGCACCTCGTAAACCGAAACGGGACGAAGGTCAGAGTGTGGCACTTGGCGGCACCTCCCTTTGGCAGAGGATGAAGGGGCTGGGGCCCCATTTCCCGCCAACACCTCCAAAGTGGGTGTCACTGCCTCCCTTAGAGGCAGGCAGAGCAGCTGTGCCCTGGGTCCCCGAGGCCCATCCTCCACTCTTGGCAATGAGGGTAACCTTGCTCTAGGGGCCCCCAAGACAAAGTGGGTGCAGAGACCAGCGTGGCACTAACCCACGCGAATTCTCAAGAAGTGGGGACTGTTAGGCGAAGCTGCCGTAGGAGTCTCCCCTGGGACGCGGCCTGGCCGGTGCGGGTGCCAGCTCTGTCTGAAGAGAGGCCTGAGCCCTCACCGTCACCTCTGAGGCTACCTGCTCACACGTCAGAGGCAAGCTCCTTCCAGATGGTTCCAGGAGGTTCCAGGGTCTTTCGGGACCCCACCGCGCTCTCCAGCCGAGCCCTCTCACCTTCCTTGTTTCTCCAGAGCAAGCCCCACCCCCACACACACGTCTTTTCTAAGAGCCCAAACTGACCCACACCCCTTTGGTGAATAATCTGGTATTTCTAAGACAACTAACCAGCATTTTAAACTTACAACACGGGGTTTCGATGGGCTGAACCTTAAGGACATCCCCCCCGTAAGCCATTCTTCCAAAGGAACCCTACGTGCAGATCCCACTTGGAAATGTCCTCTCCACAGCTTACAGAGGCACCGTCCCTGCAGACGAGTGACAGTCCTGGGACCTGCGGAGGATGAAGCCAGCAGGGCCTAGCCCCGAGCGGGCCCCAGGCCTATGGAACCCCACCGTCCACTTCTGTAAGACGGGCACGGCAGACCCCCGAGTCTCTTCCTGGGAGGGGACGAGTGGCGCCGGGCACAGACGGGGCTGCCGATTGCCAGCCCCGCCCTGTTCCTTCTCATCGCATCTCATCTGTTTGGCTTGTTTGCTCCCTCCATAGGTCATCACTGATTTCTTGTCAGATGACCGGAGCTGGGATTCGGGTTACAGTCAGCGTACAGCCAGCCTGGCTGGAATCAGAAGCATCTCTCGCAAGGCCGGACACGCGATGCTCGACTTCTGACAGACCCTCGGGTCCACACGCCCGCCTTGCAGCAACAAAGCAGCCCGAAGGGGACCAGCGTGGCCAAGGCCACCATGCACGGTCGCTGTTGTGACTCAGCTCAGAGCTCAGGCCCTGGAAGGCTCTTCAGTCGTCATAGCCTCCGTGTCCTCCCCCCGCCCCATCCCTCCCAGCCCCTAGCCCGCATGTAGCACAGTCAGGCCTCGGGCTCCAGGGACCCTGCCCTGCAGCCTCTGACCAGGCCAACCCCTGCTCCGGTCCCCTCTCCCAACCCCGTGACCTTATCGGATCCAGCAGCCCACATGTCAGTGCACAAGCCGCAAGAACAAAGGTTACAAAAAGCCCAGACGGCACTTTATTGGAGGTCTGTGCCTCCATTCAGAAGAAATGAACCAGGGCCCTGTGTTGAGGGTCCCGGCACCCCCACCCCTCGCTGGCCCAGCAGAGAACGGTCAGTCCAGCCAGCAGCACTCGGTGGGAGAGGAGCAGGAAGGGGGCTGTCTTAGAAAAAATAGATCTCTATGTACATCTGACATATTTATATCACATAAATTAGAGAGCACCCTGACCCCCGCCCGCGGGTCCAAGCTCTGAGGGGGTGCAAGTCAGTCCGGAAAGCAGGTGGGGGTGTCCTGTCCCCTCGCTCATGGCGCCCTGGGCCCCGGGCCTCCTCGCCTCTGACGGGGCACCTGCACGAGGAAGGCGGCGTCCTCAGCCCGGGTCTCGGGGTGCCTCGGAAGGCACAAATAAGGGAGCAGCGCGTGCGGCACCCTCAGCGGACGAGTCACTTCAAACCCTGGGCTTGTAATTCCACGAGCGGGTGGCCGAGGACAGCAGGCACCTCAGCCTCCCCTGCAGCGCAGCGGGGGCTCGCCGGCCGTCCTCCCGTAGGGGCTGCCGGCCTCAAGTCCGTGCGTTTGTCCCGGGTCCACTGAGACCCTCAGTGCCGACCGCCTGCAACCTCCTCTACCTTCCAGCCGCTGGAATTTTTGCCGAACTTGTAGACGAGCCGCCGGCCGTCTACCCGCTCCAGGATCTCCCGTTTGTAGTAGTACCTGCACGGACACGACGGTCGTTGGCGTCCGGCCGCTGCCCACATCCCCTCCTCTGGTGGCCCGTCCCCAGATACCTGAGCCTGACCCGCTTTCTGACTTCCCACCAGCAAGGAGGCGGCGCTCTGGCCTAGAACTGTGATCGGGGACCAACTGCTCAATTTTAGGGCTGAGCGGTGATCTGGGGGGAACTGAGGCCCAGAGCCAAGCAGCCTGACCGCCTCGGGACAGGGCGCGCGGGCCTGGCTCCGGTGTGCCTTTTCCAGGCCCGGCCTCGCGGGCCCCGCAGAGCTGCCGTCACCGTTCCCTGTGCTGCTCTGTGCCAGCCTCCGGCTCCCGCAGGTCACCATGTGCTCCCTGAGTGGGCAGACACTGTGGCGCTCACTCGATGGGACTCACAGGTGGGGCGCTGCCCGCCGTCCCTGGCCCCGCTGTCCCCGGCTGGCTGTCCCCGGCCAGCCACTCACCTCATGGCCCTGCTGAGCTTCTCGTAGGTCATGCTGCTGTTCTTCTTCTTCTGTCCCCACAGCTGGGCCACGGCCTCGGAGCGCAGGAACTTGAAGACGCCCTCCTGCCGATCCTCCCACTTCATGAGGCCCTCGTTGAGCTCCGGGTGGATGAGAATGTCCCGGATGAACTCCCACAGGTGGGTGCCCCTGGGGGCTGCAAGGCCACAGACGTCAGCAGCGGCCTGGCACCCGGACCCCCGCCCACGTCCCAGCACAGCCCCACGAATGCCGTGCACGTGCTGTCCCGGGCAGGGAGTCCGGAAGGCCTGGCTCACAGCACAGACATCCTCCTGCTGCAAGACCCACGCAGGTGTGGGTGGGACACGCTGCGGCGTGGCCACAGTCAAAAAGCAAGCACACCCGCTGCTCACCACCTGGCAAGTATGGGACCCCAGAGCCGGCCCCAGCCTGGGGGACGAGGGGACCGCTTCCTGGGAACAAGGAGCCCCGACAAACAGGAAGAAAACAGCCAGGCCCACAGTGCAAGCAGGGACAGTGTGGGAGAGGGGCCTTGGGGCAATCTCCCAGGCCACCAGCTGCAGGTCTGTGGCTGGGGGTCCAGCACCATCCTCTGTCTCAGCTCCCCACTCCCAGGAGCTGTCCTCACACCCCCCAGGTGTCCCTCCCAGCAGGCTGGACGGGGGCAAGGGCACAGGGAACTTCCTCAGCAGCCTCAATGTCCCCTCCTTTCCGGCACCGCCAGCAGCTAGGTGGCGACCAGCGCCACACAGACCCGGCCACTGCGTGGCCACAAGAAAGACAGTGGGCAGTGTGGCCGCCGCCCGCCCGCCCGCCGCAGCGCGGGGACCAGGACCCACCATGCTTGCTCTTCCTGCTGTCCAGGCTCTCTCGAGACTCTCGGCTCAGCTTCCGGGGCCGGCCCCGTTTCCGCTTCCCGTGCTTGGGGTCCCCCTTCTTGTAGTCGGGAAAGCCGTCTACGGAGGGAGTAGCAGGTCAGGAGCGTGGGGTCGGGGGGAGGGCTGGCCCCGGCGCCGCCCACTGGGGCGCCTCCACTCACCCCTGGGGAAGAGCTTGCTGTCGGCGGGGTCGAGGTCCACGTCACTTCCACCGGAGTCTGAAGACGGGGAGCTCTGAGAGGCGCCCGTCCCTAGGGGAGGTGGCCGAGTGAGTCCCCACGCAGCCCGCACCCCCGGCGGGGTGCGGGAACCAGGGGCTCGGGGACGTTTCAGGGGGAGGCAGGCTGCGTCTCAGGTGAGGGCCCTCACCTGTGGTGGAGACGTCCGAGCTGCCCGGGGACAGGGCCCCTGTGCTGTGGCTGCCGGGGTAGCAGGGGCTGGCCTGCTGGCCGTCGTCCAACAGCTCCTGGCCAAAGGGGCTCCCCTGGTCTGGGAAGAGGAGGTGAGGGTTCAGACGGGGCTCAGGGGACCGCACATGGACAGCAGAGGCCACGCAGGGGTGATGCCCGGCGGGCCTTCCTAGCTGGGGGAGACAAGTCTGAGGGGGCAGGCGGCTCTCACCAGAGGGGCCTGGGTCCCCCAGGGTCTCCTGAAAGGACTCGCTGTCCTTCTCCAGCAGGTCAATGATCCAACTGAGCTCATCAGGGAAGCTGTAAGCTGACGAGGAAGGAGGGAGGTTGGCGCCCAGGCTGGCGTCCGGCCACGCGGCTCACCCTCAGGGGCTCTCGCCGGCAGGTCCCTCCCACAGTCACGCTGACCTGGGCTCGGGGCTCGGGACACGGGGCCGAGCCCTGGGCCAGCCTCCCTCACGGAGCGGGGGACACTGGGGACACCAGGGCCTGGACTCACTGAGGTCCCACAGCTGGGAGTAGAGCTGGTCCCCTAGAGGCCCGAAGACCAGACGCAGCTCCTCGGGGGCGCAGCTGCAGAGCGTGGCCCCGTCCATGTCGCAGCGCGAGAAGTCGATGGTGCTGGCGTCGAACTTGTGCTTCTCCACCTGGTAGCTGATCCAGTCCAGGACCTGGGCCTTGGACCAGAACTGGGGCTGCTCGCCCAGCCAGCTGGCCTTCTCTGCGAGGGGCCGGCACAGCGGCGGGTCAGGCCTCCCGGCCCAGCTCCGGCACCCACCGCTGCTGCCGAGGGCCCCCCCAGGACGGATTTCACCCCCTTACCCACCGCTCAGCCTCTTCCAAGTGCCCCGGCCCCCGCCTCCCTGCCTGACGCGCCCACCTAACAGGCTCCTAGGTGGCCGTCTCCCTCCCCGCCCCCACCAGACGCACCTGCGCCCTCCAGCGGCATCTGGGGGCTGCTCAGGGACAGTACCAGGTCATCAGCCCCAAAGGTGGCAGCAGGGGGGACAGAGGCCAGGGCGGGGTCCTCGGGGCTGTACATGGTGCTGAAGTAGTTGCTAAAAACGTTGCTGATCTCACAGGTGGCAGCCATGAGGCTACCTGGGGAGAGACGGACGGAGGCTGGTGAGGGGCCGGGCCGCCGGGCCTCGGCCAGCTACTCTGTTCCAGCCAAGCCTAGGGCAGAACCAGCCTGGGGACACGAAGGTCCCCATCTCTCCGGACACCCCATCTTCAACATGGGCCTGAGATCTCAGAGCCCACTGGGGGACCAGGCCTCCCGCCGGGCTCCCTCCTCAGCCCGCCTGGGCCCTTGAGTGGGACTGGCCGCCCTGTCCCTCCCAGGGGTGGTCCCTCTGCTCTCAGACCCTCAGTTCAGCTCCATCGCCTCACACACAGTGCAGAACCGCGGAGGGCAGGTCGGGACTACAAACCCTCCTTGTCCCCAGGCCCAGGTTGGGGAACATGACAGGTGGGGACCTACCCAAGCGGCAGTGCGGGCGTGGCAGGCAGGCAGGTAAGGGCCGGCAGGCTGGCGGGAGATCCAGGCGGGAGATCCAGGCAGCGGCTGGCCAGGTAGCGCACACGCCTGCCCTAAATAGCCGCGTGGAGCCCCTCCCCGCCAGGCCTTCACACCACCCGCCCCGTAACCTGAGCTGGTGGCTCATTGGACCCAGGGGATTTCCTGGCCTTTAGACTGGGCGCCTGGCCCCAGGTGATTTGCATATTTTGTGCCACTTGGCCCGGGTCCTAGCTGGCATGCTGGGAAATCAGGCCCAGCTGGTTTAATGATTGTCAGACGGTCATCCCGCACCCTCTGGGGTTGGGCACAGGGCACAGGCCTGGGCGGGTGACGGGAGGGTCGCTGGGGGGGGAGCTCTGTACTTTCGGCTGCCCTCAGGCCCAGGAAATTCCTCCAGGGGGTGGGGGACAGGCCAGGGAGGCAGGGAGGGGCCGGCAAGGGGGAAGTCGGGGGACTGGAGCCCCTCCCTGGGAACCTGGGTCGCAGAGGCTGCTGGCCCCAAGCATCTGGAGATCTGGGGACAAAGGGGCCCGACAGGGAGAGAAGGCCCTGAGACTTAGGGATTTGCCCCACAGACCCAGCGTTCAGGCTGAAAGGCTCCCCAGGCAGAGTCCACAGGCTAGTGGGTGGCGACGGGCCTGCCAGCCTAGCCCAGGGCCGGCGTCCCAAGCCGTAGGCCCGCTCGCTGGCACCTGCTTTGCTGGCAAGGCCTTGGTGCTCTCCGCCTGCTCGGACCCCATCCAAGCATCAGCGTTGCCGCCATCGCTCCTGCAGACCTGGCCCTGCTCACCGCTGTCCCTGGCCTCCCTGTCACGCTGCTGGCAGTGCAGGGACCCACACGGCCGTGTATGGCTCTATCTGGTCTCCCATCTCGTCTCCACTCCGTGGCGGTCACCAGCACCGCCTGCTGCCCACTAGTGGTCAGAGACGGGGCCGCTTCATATCGGTTTACTGTTTTCTCAGGCACTTTCAGCACAGTCCACTTTCATCCTCACAAAACCCTGTAAGACAGGGACGGTCACCCCCGTTTTATACACGGAGCCCAGGCCACATGGGGCGAGTTGAGGGGCAGGGCCGAGAGGTAAGCCCACTGACTGGTGCCGCAGACGTACACCACGTGTCCCGCCGCTTCAGAGGCCTCCGCTCAGCTCCACGCTGGGCTGTGCTGTCCCCATGGGCCGGGTGAGGCCCTCATGGTGGGCTCCCCTCGAGGGACCGCGCCCTACAGACCCCGCTGAGGCCCCGAGCGGGGGCAGCATGGGGTGGCAGGAGGGAGGCGGGAGCGCCCCAGCTGTGGGATTCTGTGCCTCTGTTTCCCCATCTGTAAAAACCAGGTTGTTCGGCTCTCATAACCCCGAAGCTCCCCTCAGGCCTGGCTCTCTCAGCCTCTGTGACGTAGGCTCTGAGTATCGCTCTCCCAGAGGGTTCACGGCCCAGCTCAGGGGTGAAGGGCCTACTCAGAGGACAGGGGAAACACCTGCAGGGCCGCCCTCTCGTTAACTCTGCGGCCCGAGGACTGAGAAGCGCAGCCCGGTCAACCTGCTTCTCACCCTCCTTGTCTCTCAAAGTGCCGGATCCCAGGGCACGGCTAAGGCTCAGGGTCCCCTCTAGAGTGCGGGGGGCATGGCGGGGGGCGCAGAGAGCAGCTCTGGCCAGGATTTACCCCAGCCCCCCAGGGGCCTCCCCCCAAGCAGCCTGAGGCAGGCACACCCTCTACCCAGTCACTCACCCTGGAATGTGGGAGAACCAGCTCCCAGCCCAGGACGGCTCACAGAGCTCAGCCGGCTGAGGCTGCGAGGAGGGGGCCAGAGGACACACAGTGAGAGGAAGGGCACCGGCCCCCCTGCCTTCAAGGGGCTTCTCGGGAGACATGGGGCTGAGACAAGGACTGCCTCAGGCTAGCACCTCATTCACCCCCAAGTGGGCATGTCTGCAGTGGCCGGTGCTCTGGGAGGTGCTGGCAAAGCCTTAGCTTTGCGCTCAGTGCCCTGGAGGGTGGGGGGTCGGGGGGCTGTGCAGGGCGACAGCCTCGTCTCGGGGACAGGCACTCAGAGCACTGCATCCCAGCTCTAAGGAAGGACAGGCATGCCAGCAGGACGGCTGGGTGGCCCCGTGGTGAGGGGCAGGTGACACAGCTCGGTGAGGACATGCAAAGTTGGTGGGGTCACAGGGGCTGGACACAGGAAGGGCTCCCACGGTGACTGTGACTAACCGGCTCCCCGGTGCTGTAGGTTCTTGTACAAACAAGGAGAGGGCACTGGTCTCAGAGCGCTAAGCTAGACCCCAAGTTGGGGAGCAGGGAGGCGTCTGCACAGCCCGAGAGTCATCCTTGCCTGGGACATACTGCTAGGGACAGCCTGGAAAGGCTGGGGCCTAAAGCTCTTCCAGTCCTGGGCCCCAAACCCCTCTCCTAGGTCCCACAGTCCCCTCTCCGCCGGGGACCGAGGCACTCATAGGCGGCCACCACCGGCTTGCTTTCGCTGAGTGAGAACAAGTCTGTTCATACGTAAGCGCTGTGCTCTGTGCAGGGGAGGGGAGGCCAGTGCTGAGCACCTTGAGTCAAGGACAGAGCCACAGACTGGCTTGGGGTGCCCTGTATTTAAGAAAGGCAACTTAAATATATATGTTTTTGGGTTTTTAAAAGATTTTTATTGGGGAATTGGGGGATGGGAACAGCGCTGGGGAATTGGGGGAAAGGGAACAGACAAGTTGCTGTCGTTTTTTTGTTCTTCAGTCTAGTTGTGGAGGACGTTGCTTCACTGGCCCAAGTTGGCACCATCATTGCGCTCTTCCCGGGCGAGGCAGATCAGTCACCGGCTTCTGGACGGCCGCTCACTGCGGCTACTGGCCGCTCACGCTGGCTGCTGGCTACACACGGTAGCCCATGGCAACCCACTGCCACAGGGACTGCAGCCTACGCCGTCGCCGGCGACTCACGTCAGCCCAGCTCCAGGTTGAGCTGTTGTTCAGCATCTTAGCTGTAGAGGGCGCAGTGTCCCTGACCCTCATGTGGGATCCGAACTGGGGCCCTGCTGCTCACCTCTGGCGTCCCAAGCCAGCTCTTAACCAGCGCGCCACTCGGGCAGCCCCAACTTAAATATATTTAAAATTTTTCTCAGCAACCCTCCCCTCATCCCACACCCCAAACCTAGGCTGCTAACTACTTAGGTCCCCACTAGAAACTAGGGAACCAGAAGTGAGACCCATTCTGACTAGGACAGCATCACACATGAAGTTATCATGGCTGGAGGCAGGCGAGGCCCAGGGCGGTGGAGGCTACAGGGGCCACAAGGCCACTTATCTCAGGGAGGACAGGGAGGAGCCTGCAGGTGGAGCCTACCTGCCTCGGGGAGGGCTGGGCTGCCGCTCGTTTGCACACTTTTCCTGAACAGCCACGCTACAGCCATGCTGCTGCACTGTTCATATGCACGTGTGGCACCCCCTCCTGCTACAGCCTGGGAGCTCCCTAAGGACAGGGGTCTCCCCCAGTTAGTCTCAGGACACCTGCACATGAAGGGGACACCTGAGGGAAGGAATTTCATAGTCACTCAATCTAAAACTCCAACTTAAACACTTTTCACTTTAAAATATTTATTAAAATAAAGGTTAAGCCAGAAAAAAATGCCAGAATGCATCTCTTTGCGAACGACTCAGGAACCAGCAAAAACAGAAGCCTCTCTGTTCTGCCCAGACTCTAAGGGGCAGGGAGCCCCGGGAGCCAGGTGGTCCCTGGTATCAGGACTCAGGTCCACAGACTATCCTGAGAGACATAAACTCAGGGATGCGCCTGGGAAACCAGAACTGGGAACAATGATTCTGAAAGCTGCGGTCCCTGGGAAGAGGCGGGGTCCCCACACGTCCCCAGGTGCCGCTAGGTGCCCTTGGGTGTCAAGACCTGCTGCACGTAGTGGACGACATTGCTGTGCAGCTGGGGGGCAGTGGCTGCGAAGGTCTCCTTGGCGAGGGTCCGGGCCGCCTCACTGCCACCCATCATCGCGTGGTACAGCGGGAGTGTATACTTCTGCTTCCCCTGCAAGAAACACACACGCACGGCTGCTGCCGCCTGGCCCCGGGTCTGTCCAGCCCCCCGCCCCACGGCCGGTCCCAGCAGTCCGGGCAGGGGCCCTGGAGCTGGAACGCGGGCTTCCCAGACAAGAGTGTCCTTGCTCTGGCATCGGCTCGGGGCCAAGCATCCCGGCAGAGCGACGTCAGTGCCGCCCCAACGCAGGACAGCATGGGGTGTCTACAGTCAGCAAAACAAGTGGGACCCAAACTCTCGGGAAGCTGTCAGTGGTCGGCAGCCAGCTGACAGCAGACGCCAAGGCTCAGCACAAAAAGCTGAGGGACACGTGAGGTCCGACACTGGCAACAGACGGAAACCCACACGTGCAATTCACATCCATGCGAGTCAGCCACTTAGCCAGTCCCCGAAGACCAGAGGCTGCTGGGAGGAGCCTCCCGGGGGCTCAGGGCCTCCACGCCGGCGCCAACAGCCGTGGGACGCCAAGCCTGCTCTGAAGTCTGAGGACCGGCATCCGAACTGCCCGACGCAGCCCCAGCAGGGCAGCTCTGCCGGGCGACCGGACACCCAAGTGCCAGGCTCCCCAGGGAGCGGGAACCTGTGGTCTCACGGTCGCTTGTCCCCTGTCCCCTGTCCCCCCTGCCGAGACCCGCGCCCAGCTCTGGGCTGGCTCCCCTCCCACGCGGGGCCACCAGGCGCACGGCGGGGCACCCACCTGACTCTGCAGGAAGTCCCTCACTTTCCAGAAGTCCTCCTGGTGGTCGTTCTTCAGGACGATTTGGCCCCATCGCAGCCGCAGCTCTGCGTTGCGTGCCTGGGAGATCCTCGGGTACGTGTCTCCCAGTTTCTTCATGTTCCCTGGGAAAAACAGGGTGTCTTTTGTAATTTTTTAATTTTTCGATTACAGTTTTACAGTAGTTCCAGGGTTACATCACGGTGATCAGACATCTAGGTACCTACCAGAGTGACCCCCCAATAGGTACAGTACAGACAGGGGTTATCGAGGCGACCTTGCCAGCAAAGCCCGGGGTCCGCATCCTAAGACGTGTGTCGACCTCAGGCACCCGGAGTGGCTTCAGGGGGTCCCGACCGCCCATCTCACTCCTCAGCCCGCCCACTCGATGTTCCGAAACGGTAAGAAAGTCCTGTGCTCACAGGTGCCTTAATTTCTGGGCCTCTTCCACCGAATGTCCCCAACAGTGTCACAGACTGACCCTGTTACTCCTGGATTATAGCATGTGAACCCCTGAAGACTCGGCCCCACTTTTCTCCAGCCTACGTCATCATGGCTTTCACAGGACACCCCCAGTGGAGCTGGCTCCTGGCAGAGCAGCAAACAGGCTGAGCACGTGGAGGTGGGGGCCGCGGCCACCTGGGGCCACATCATCACAGCCCCTACGCCAGAGTCACGAGGACTAAGCGACGCAACAGATGTGAGAGCTTAGACGAGTGACCGGCCGGGCCCGGGCCCGCTCGATGCTGGCTCGACGCCCCGCGCCCCGCAGCACTCGTGCGTGACCTGCATCCTTCTGCCCGACGAGCGCTGTGTCCACCTGCTGCCCCCCTCTGACACCTGGCAGTCGCCCGGGAGCAAGCGTCACAACTTCTCTGAGTCTCCCTCGGGCCCGACAGAGAGCCCTGCCCAAGGGGCTGGATTCCCGATGGCGAAGACATCACCCTCTTGTTCTCACCGGGAGGGAGAGGGGATTTCTGCAGGATCTTATCTAGGAAGTACACCAGCTGGTAGGTCTTCCAGGCGGAGATGGCCACAGCCTCGATGGCCTTCATGTCCAGCTTCTCTGCAGCCCACAGCTGGGCGAGCGCTTCGGCAGGCTTCATGAGCGAGTCCCCAGGGGACAGGTCAGGGAGGTAGGGCGGCCAGCCAGGGGTGTTCAGCCACCGATCAAACTCAAAGCCTGGAGAGAAGATACTGTCAGAACCTGTGCAGCCTCCCAGGCAACTCGGCCAAGCGGCTCCCCAGGCCTCAGGCCACCTGCCTCTGCACCCACACTCTGGCTGTTCACGGCTCTGAGCTGCAGCAGGGTCCCCGTCACCGCCTGGACACTGTCACATAGACGGGACTGCCCCTTTCCTGCAGTGAAAGTGCTGTCTGCTGACCGAACCAAGCGGACGGGTGCCCCACGTCTCTCCCTGACGGCCACGGCTGGGGCTCTGGGCCAGGCCCCTGGGTCCCTATGCCGGCCGGCCACAAGCAGGAGGACCTGGCATGTCCGCTCCCCTCTCTGCGCCTCGTTTTATGTACGCGGGGGGAGGCCCTGCCTTAGTCGGCAGCGATGAGATTAAACAAACACATGAGGAGCTCCACACGCTGCCCGCTGCACAGCAGCCACTCCGCAATTATTAGCTGCTTGCGACGGAGGCTCACGGCCTTGCCGTGTGGGCCTCTGACCAGAGTGAGCGCTGCCGCCATCCGGGTAGCCCAGCTGTCAGCGCAGGCGGCCTCCTCCGCCAAACCCGCGAGCTGGCTCAGCGCTCACAGCATGAGGGGGTGTCTAACGGCTGCATCATCTGTGCGGGCGCTCTCCACTCTCTTAGGGATCAGGCAGCAGGCAGCAGTAGCACGTGCCCTGTGCGGGAGGCCGTCCCAGGCTTGGCTTGGGCAGCTCTGGGCCAAGCTAAGGGTCTGCCCATGTGGCCCGGGGTGAAGCAAACGAGAAGGCGAGTAAGGAAACATGCGGGAGAAGACGAGGCAAGAGCACAGAGAGCCGTCATGCGGCCGCCTGAGGCCGACCCCCAGAGCCAGCTGCCGGTGACTCGGAGCCGGTGTCCCCCACCCCGTCCGTCCAGGCGCAGACGAGCTGTGATTCCACCCGCGAGCCCATGGGCCGGCCCCTGCTCACCTGGAATGGCGTCCACGCGCCGTGCCTTCAGCTCCGGGAAATACTCCAGGTAAAAGTCCAGGAGGTCCTCGGCTAAGATGCTCTGGAACTTAAACTCATCAACATAGGCCTGTAAGGGGGCATGTCCATCTCAGCGGCGCCAGCGCCCACGGGAGGGCAGCCCACCCCTCGGGCTCCTCCTGTGCCCTCATCTCCGGCCCAGCCACGCTGGCCTCTCGTCTTCCTTCTCCCGACCTTGGAGTGGACAGTACCTTGAGGAACTTGTCAAACTGGTCCAGGTCACCCACCAAGTGGGCCAGGTAGGAGACAAAGCAGAAGCCTTTCTCGTAGGGCGTCTCGTTGTAGGTGTCGTCTGGGTCCACACCTGGCAGAGGACAGCAGACAACACCTGAGCATGTGCACCTGTCACCCTTGCGGTTTTGCTCAAGCGCCAGACTCCGCGAGTAACTGGAAGAGGTCAGAGCCAGCTTCCTTGGGGACAGAAGGTGGGACTCCAGGCCCACCCCAGCCTTCCTCCTCAGGTGACCGGAAAGGGCCGGTAACTGTGGGCCTTCTAGGAGCACAAGGAACCAGCCTTCCAGGTTCCTGGTGGGCTCCACAGATGCCTCGGACACAGTGCAGGGCTCGGGGCCCTTCCAGCCCCACTGATCACCACCTAGAGCCTCCTCCTCTCCCAGAACAGCGAGTGGTTCTAGCCAAAAATAGTCACGAGTCTACAAGACGTTCACTCTCACAGTGCCATCAAGGACCGCTATCTTCCACCGTACGAGGGCGTGAGATTAGTCACATGTGGAACTAAAGAGCAAGGCTAGAACACCAAGCACGCGACCTTGGACAAGTCATTCAGCTCAATGGTGCTCGGTCACACACTCTACAGACCCACGGTCTGGCTGGAGGACACAGTGGAATGCCAAGAGCCCTGTAAGGTGACAGGGGCAGAGCTGCACACATGCAGCCGAAGTCACCCAGGACGCACGGTCCAGACACAGCTCCCACGGGCCGCGAGCCAGGACGGCTGAGCCCGCTCTGGGGCTCCAACCCCAGGACAGTACCCTCGGTTTCGTACTGACCGACATGCAGCCCGCCTGGGGGCGGGGTGGGGGGGTGCCAGGCAGAGGCTCCAGCACCTGGTTCAATCACCACGCGGAGCTTGTTGAGCGGGTTTTCCTCGCCGGCGATGTCCATGTGCTGACGGAGAAGGGCCCGCCCCGTGGCAGCTTCCAAGCAGGTGTAGGCAGCCCCTGGGCAGAGGGAACCAGAGGCCCCAAGACCCGTCAAACACAAGTCTGCGGTCCTGGCGGGACAGGCTTGCTGCCCCCTGGTGGCCACGAGGAGAACGACATCCCTGCGCCCAATGCCGCCCCTCCTGGGGACCCCAGGACAGAACGGGACTGCACCCCAGCTCCCTGGGCCACACAGGGTCTGGTCAGCTCAGGCTGTCAGTCTCTCCCAGACCAGCAGACGGGGAGCCACACTTTGTCCTGTGACAGTTACCTTTCCCTACCCCTGTATTTTTATTGGTAGTAATATATTTGGTGATAGTAATTTCATCTTTTATGAAAGCAGATTATTTTCATCTGATTGCTCCCATCGGGCAAGAGACACTATCACCCCAAATTTTTCTACGGGTGTCTACATCTCCTTCTGGCTCTAAAAGTGAGGGTGGGAAGCGGTCCAGGGGTTTGAACAGCCACCCCTGCTGCTACGAGAACCTCTGACTCTGGGCCAGTTGCTGACTCTCGCACCCTCAGCGTCCTCATTGCCCAGGATAACGACAGTTACAGGGTTCTCGGTGGCTGGTTACGACGCTCACAAACGGGGTCTTGCTCTGTTTTCTGGACGCACGTGTCGATTTGTGCAAACTTTCTGGGAGGCAGGGGACAGTATGTGCTCAAAACGCCTTTAAAACGTTCACATCCGGAAAGTAAGTTTCTAGGAATTCATGTTTATCAAAATCATCCAAGACGTGCATGAACGTTTACATGCAGAGATGTTTGTCAAAACATCACTCACTGGAAAACTGAAACAGCCTAGGTATGTAACAACGGGAGACTGAATGAATTATGAAACGTCTGTCCTGTGCAGCTGCAGAAGAAAATATAATGACCTGGGGAAATGTTGATTAAGTTTAAAAAAAGAGGCAGCTGTAAAACCACGCATGGTCTGAGGGTTCACACACGCATAGAACTGTCTGAAGGGCACACACCGATTGTCCCTGAACAGCGAGACGACAGGTAAGTATTTCTTGGTGTGCTTCTCCATATATGCCAAAATAGGTTTTGGTCAGAGAAATAATAATAAATGCTGTATTTCTGAAAGCACCTGAGACACAGCAGGTCTTCAATAACGAGACAGCACTGAGCCAGTATTTTAAACGCACACCTGGGCTCAGCTCGAGCGTGTGTCCTCACTGGCTCCGCGGCTTGGGCACATTTCTATACTCAGTCACAGAGAACTCACACACACCAAGGAGACACTAAGATCTGGTCCACAGGACCACTGCGGAACTGGCGAATGGTGCGTTTTCCACCATGTCTAGTACAAAGCTGGTAGGTACGTGGGCAGGTGACAACGATCTGACTGACTAGTTAACAGCCTCACTACGGAGGTGACAGCCGGGCCACTCTCCTGCAGGGCCGCCTGGCTGCAGGGAGAACACAGCAAGTGTGGCTGCAGCGTAGGTGCAGGGGACGCCGTTAGCTCCGCAAGCAGCTATTCGGTCCACGCGCTTAGGAGACCCTCCGCCCTTCACGCCCACGTCAGCCCGGTGCCACCATCCTGGGAGCTGGCTCACCAAACAGGACTGTGGAGATCCTTCTCTGGGCATACATGGTGAACCCCTCGTTGAGCCAGAATTCGCCCCAGTTGGCATTGGTGACCAGGTTCCCAAACCAGCTGTGGGAGATCTCATGGATGATGACGTCGGCCAGCGAGCGGTCCCCTGCCAGCAGGCAGGGGGTGACGAAGGTCAGACAGGGGTTCTCCATTCCTCCAAACGGAAAGGACGGCGGCATGAAGAGAAGGTCGTACCTGCAGGGGTGGCGGGGGGTCAGGCGGGGCCGGCTCCCCAGGGCAGACCCGCCCCCTTCCCGCCAAGGCCCTCTCTCAGCCTCGTTCCACACCCTGCGATGCAGCCACCAGACAGGCCGCGAATGACCCCGGGCAGGTGCTGAGATGACGCCAGGCTCCTGGGTCCCCAGCAGCCTCGTCAGCCCCCCGACACACCCCAACCCCTAGGCCTGCTCTCCAAACCTTCTGCCCCGTTCTCCCTCCAAGCACCTGAGCTCACCTGTGGCCAACTCAGGGTCACAGAGGCCCTGCAGAGCCACCTCTCTGAGGGGTCTACAGTCGGAGGGGGTTAGAGGGAAACGTGGGGTGGGGGCTGCCGCCAGCGGCCAGGGGAGCTAAGTCCGCGGGCACGAGGCCCGCTGTCATCACGTCCCTGGCCTCCGCTCAGGGTCCCCTCCTCAGCAACAGTGCGTGTGGCCCGGCTCACCCCGTCACCTCTGGGGATGGGGACAGAGGGGGACCCCAGGATTCAGGGGACAGCGGGGAGGCAGGACACGATCGGCAATGAGAACACACCTTCCCCACACGTACGGCCCAAAAAGCTTCTCTCCCGTTGCCAGGAATTCTTCTATCACCCCATCGTACTCCTCCTTGGCGGCCCCGATCAGGCAGGGCTCGGCCCACACCCGGCTCCTGACAAGACAGCAGAGAGGGCAGACTGGTGTCTACAGACCGTCCAGGGGACCAGACCCTGAAAACATCTGTAGAAAAACGGGCCTCCGTCTCGCGTTGGAGCCGCATGAAGGTAACAGTGCGGGCAGTCCGAGGCAGGAGCTGCGAGGCCAGCTCACCAGCATGGGTCCAAGAGCCCCGAGCGGCCTCGTGGGATGGACGCGGAGCAGAAAACGGGTGACACACAGGCTCAGCGACAAACCTGGCTAAGAGGGGAGGCAGAGGGGCTGTGCTCCGAGGGGGAGGGGAGGAGAAAGGGGGGACGAGAGAGACGGAGAGAGACACACACGTGTGTGCAAGCACAGTTAGGGGTTCAAAGGAAAGCAAGCGCCCGAGTGGGGGCTGCCAGCGGCGCGGTGAAGACACTGGGCTTCACACGGAGGACGGACCCCTGATCACAGCCCAAGGGGAAAGGAAAGGTGAGGGCAGGAAGCTGATGTCATCACATCTGACAGATGAAATGTGCCCCAGCAAGGCTGCCCTGCCCGCCGGGAGCGAGGGCTGGGTCTGCGTGTGAAGCCGGCGAGAGCGGTCAAGTCTGAAACAGCTGGGGAGAGGGAGGCGGACAGGTAAGTTAGGGTGTGGGGGGATGCTGAATGCACACCTGTAGTTGAAGATGACACTTAGAGTTATCTTGAAAATCACACAAATATCTATTTCAACTTTAATTTCAAGTTCTCCCAAGAAACCTGAAATGTGTGGCGGCAGCACGCGCAGCTTCACGATTTCCTCCGTGTCCCAAGCCCAGGTACGAAGTGAGAACGGGAAGGCGAGGGGCTGGGACCTGACACGTGTCAGCGAGAGTGGCCAGGCCAGGGGCCCAGGAGCCTGAGGGGCAGGCGGAGGGACGCGGTGGGGCGAGGCCACCAGGGCGCCGACAGGTCAGCAGGGTGGGGTCAGACTGACCGAGGCCAAGGGGCCTGCAGTTTGCAATAAGGTACAGGTCACAGCAATGGCTGGGAGGCCACAGGCGCTAGAGACTGGCCGTGAGTGCGGAGGCTGAGTCGCTGCAGAATCCCTGAGCAGAGGCGGCCGAGGCGCCATGAAGCCACCCTCAGCCCCGGGCGCTGGAAGGGCCAACCACCTGGAGAAAAGTCACCAAAGATCATGTGACAGGGCAGCAGGCTGAGGAAGAGACCCCGTAGGAGTCGGTGTCTGCAAGGAACCACTCTGTGACCCTCCGTCCCCAGCCCGGGAGCCATAATTAATGAAGTCCCTGGACTCAAGAACTTGGGTTTCCTACAGGCGGGAGGCTGAGGCCACTCGGGGCACACCCACGACATCGCCGCCAGCACAGGCTCCTGTCAGAAAATACTAGGACGCTCTCAGTCAAGCTGGACTCTCACCAGCAGGTTCTAGTGCAAAATTTAAACCAGAAACACCTGGAGCTGAATTCCAGCCCTGCCACCTATGGGACGTGGCACAAACCACTTCACCAAAGCCTGTCTGCCTATCTGCAAAATGGGGACAGTACTACCTCCCTCATTCGAGTCTGTGTACAGATTAGAAGAGATGATACATAGTGGGGTACGGGGGAGACCCAACCCTCTCTTCTGCCCAGCATTTTCCTGTGGTGACGGACGGGGTTTGGTGGCACCTTTTGCCGGACACCCTCCCAGGTGACACCCCCCACCAAGACCCTAAGATGTGATCCGTGAGGCAAGGACTGTCCACCTGATGGAGAAGGAGTCAGCCCATCAGCAGCTAAATGTCTGTCACCTGGTTGGATGTACTATGCTGTCATTTTATTACAGAGGGGTCAAAACTCATTATTATCCAGTGTCTACGCTGCTCTCTCGCTCCCCATTAATAGTTCACACTCTCCCTGACGGAACCTTCACGAGAGCGAATTCTCTAAAACGATACTCCTTTGGTCACCTACTGCCCTGTCTATCAGGAGAACAGCCCTCCCTGAAAGCAAGGTAGCTGATCCGTCAAGGCTGTGGTGCTGTCCTGACGGTTTGGGGGACACAGGTGTCAATGGAGTCCCATCAAGTGTCCCCTCTGAGACCCAGGAGGGAAGGCCCGTGACCCCAGCAGAGCTATGGAGCCAGCTATGAGGCCCGAGGCTGGTAACTAGTCCTGCCAGGGACCCCACCTCCTTCAGAAACCGAGGGCAGGGCCAGTGACAGAGGCAGAGACAGCGTCCCGCTGTCTGATCCTCTCACATCAGGAAGAAGCTACCCTGGCAGGTAACACGGTGGCCAGGGCTAAGCTGTGCTCCAGCTAGCCACCTAACTCCCTGCAGGTCCGTGTCACTTGCCTCCCTAGAGGGAGACAATGAGATTAAGGTCGTGTATTTCCAGGAACCAAGTGCTAGAGAAATCAGGAACAAGTTAATCGAGATACTAGAAGGGGATTTAGAGCTTAAAGACACTAAAACAGATCAATTTTTCTAGAACTGCAGCCCAAGCCCCAGCGTCGCTCCGCAGGTGGCCCAGGACAGCAGCGACCCCACTGCAGACACAGGATTCGAACTGGCAGGGAGGAGAGAGACAAGGAGACCGTCCTCTGGCTGACTCAGGCCTCACGTGTCCAAACGCTGCAGATGGCACCGCTCAGAGGCCTCGGAGCCTCAGGCGCCAACCTGATGACCCTGCCTACGATCTGTGTCTCCTACCTGGGTCCAACTTCTGCCGAAACCAGATCTCCAATGGCCAGAGCTACCAGGTAGGAGGGGATGGGCTGGCACATCTGGAAGAAGAATGTGTTGGGACCTCTCTTCTCCCAGGTGTCAGCACTCATCACGGCTGTGAAGCCATCCGGGACCTGACAACAGAGAAAGCCTCCTGCTCAGGAGCTGGAAGCGTGGCCGAGCTGCGACCTGCGACCTGCGACCTGCACAGCCATGGCAGTGAGCTGAGGTCCACCTGCAGGAAACCAAGTGGGCTGCACGGATGGGTTTAGCAGGTAACGTTTCTGCACGTGGAGGAATTTTCAGAGCTACCACCGGATGGGTGTCACAGTCTGCCCACGGAGACACGGCCTCCTGGACGCGAAGGTCTAGTTCCAGTCCCAAGGGCAGGTCCCCTGTGGCCCCTTACCTCGATCAGGGCCGAGTACGTGTACTTTACGGCAGGAGTGTCGAAGCACGGGAAGAAAGCCCGGTTCAGCACCGCCTGGCCCTGGGTGTAGACAAAGGGCTTCTCCTTCCCTGCTGTCTGCTCGGGAGCCAGCCAGCACACCTAAGAGAGCAGAGGCCAAGTCAGAACGGACGCCCGACATGAGCTTGCTGCAGCCAGCACACCTAAGAGAGCAGAGGCCAAGTCAGAACGGACGCCCGACCTGCGTGTTTGTTTCTTTCTCTTTTAATGACATTAAGGAGAAAGAAGCCAGAGGCAGTGCGTACGCTATAGAAAGAGTGTGAGGTCTGGGATAAGGTAAGAGCCCTTGCTGGGAGGGGGCAATGAGGCAGGGCTAAAGACCAAGTGCCACCAACACAGACCTTCATGCTGCAAAGGACAGTGCTTTGTAAAGCGTGGATCTTGGCCAGCATTGTCTTAGTGTTGATATTTAATTTTAGGTGTCACTTGTAGTAGGCAAATTCAGCGAGGGCTTAATTTTTCCATTATCCTGTCTAATCTCTACTTCCTGCCCCAAACCAGGAACCAGAATATAACAGAGGAACCAAACGCATTTCCAGATGTTGCTGTCCCTAGGGAGCCCTGGGTTTTTTCCTTTGCCTTAGCGGTCGATTTGCATTGCTTTGAACTTTCATTTTTAAAACAAGTTCTATCACAGGTTCCTTCATCCCCCAAGTGGTGAAAGAGGGAACCAGCTGCAGGAGCAAAAGATGAACTGCTGGCCAGATAAACCCACTGGCTGAAAGCAAGCAGCCTGCTACTGTGCAGCCTGGAACCCACCCACCTCAGGGAGGACTTCCCACCACAGCCTTAGGACCCTCCATGGCAGGGGCGTGGGGGAGGTGTTCTGACTTGCAGATGTTACCACATCTTATTTACAATATCCACCCCCACCCCCACCCTTTTAAGACTTACGAGTCAATCAATCGAGAGAAAACCACCTTATTATAAAGCCTCCTACACGCCAATTCTCTGTTTTACTGAAATTCTTTTCTTAAGCGAATCCAGGGATTCACAGAACGAAACTAAAATTAAGTATCCGGGTTCAGAGTTGTTTCAGCCTGTGGCCCTAACAAGGGCACCAAGAAAAAAAGGTCCGAGTCAGCACCGGACAACGTTCACTTCAATGTATGAATAGTTCCGTATTCAGAAAGCCGCTGAGGACAAGGTTCCCTCCCTCCGCGGAAAAGGACACCAGCCACGTGATGTGCTGGGAGGCACTGAGAGGACCTGAGGGATAATCTGGACAGGTCACTGCAACCGAAGGGAGGACAGGCCGGGGCGCTGGAGAGGACAGTGGTGCCCAGCGCGGAGGAGGGCAACCCGGGCGGCCTGCCTGGAGGAGGGGGCACGGAGGGCTCCGGGCCTCCGGGGCCGCGCGGTGGGGGCCCCCTCCTCCCGCTCTGCCGAGGCGCCTGCACACCTGGGCGGACACCTGCACACTCACCCCGGGCCCCGCCCCGACGACGCGGTAGGTGAGCAGCACTTGGAAGCGCTCCCCCGCGGGCCGGGGCTGCGGGAAGGACAGGCACAGCGCGCTGCCGTAGCGCGCGAAAGGCCGCACGTGGAAGCGCACGGGCTCCTCGGGGCCGGACGGCTCCCGCCGCAGCGCCGCCGCGGTCACCTCCAGGCTCGGGTGCGAGTCCAGCCGCAGTTCGGCCGCGCCCGCGGGCGCCAAGCAGCGCAGGTCCAGCGCGGCCGAGCCGCTCAGCGTGCGGCTCCCGAAATCCGCCCGCAGGTCCAGGTGCACGTGCAGCAGCTGGAAGTCCCGGAAGCTGGACGCCGAGGCCACGTCCACGGCCCGCGCGGAGTGCAGCGCCCGCGGAGCCCGGCCCGGAGGCCCGCCGCTCGCCATGGTGCCGCCGACTGTGGCGCAGGCCCCGCCCCCGCGCCCTGCGCGCCGAGGCCACGCCCCGGGACACAGCCGAGTCCTCCAGCTGACCCTGCCCCCCAGGAAATCGGCGGGGCCACGCCCCCCCCAATCAGAGCCGGGACCACACCCGTCCCGGAGATTTTCATAAAGGGGAATAGTAGCCTGGTATGTTTCCTCGCCTTGTAGTCTTAAATTTTTTATTTTATGAGTTGCATATGGTAGTGTTTTTTTTTAAGGCAATGTTAGTTTTCTGTTTTCATCTTACTGATTAGTGAAATCCAAAAATTCTGGAAAACCCCTGTTGTGTGGCATTGAGCACAGCGCTTGGTGCCCATTAGACGTTCAGTGCATCTACCTTCAGCTCGCTCTCCGATGCAGTGCTTTCTGCTGAGCGCCCGCCATGCAGCCATTAGGCCGCGCGCGGCAGATCCAGTTGAATGAGCCTGGCGCAGGCTCGGTCCTGCGCTCCGTCTCGCTGCCGGTCAGGGCGTGACCGTTCCGTGCGGTGCAGCGATCACCTGGGAAGAGCAGAGCGCGCTGGGACGCAGGGAGGGACACCCAGCCTGGGCTCCCGGGCGAATGCTGCTGAGGGAAGAAGGCCTGCTCCCCTCGGCTGTAGGTACAAACATTTTAAAATTAAAAAAATTAAAAAAACATTTCCGGAGTTATTACGGTTCTCCTTTTAGGGCCAACTTCTTCCTGGGAACATGAGTGGGCCCGTTCCTGTCATTCTCACTTTGCTTCCTGTGTGGCTCCCACATGTCTGGTTTGCGTCCAGATGGTATCAGATGGTATCGTAACCACCCACTCACAGCACAGAGTCCGGAAGACCTCTGCAGAAAGACACCATGACGACAGGCGACCTCCGCCTCCAACTGCTTTCGCTATTGATTGACTGACTGACTTCTGAATGTTCAGAAAGTAACACATCTTGGACATTTCAAAATAATGGCTGGAAATCTTCCAGAACTGATGCAAAGCATGGTTCTATAGATTTAAAAGTAACAACAAATTCCAAGCAAAAAAAATTAAAATTAAAATAAACCTAAATATGGACATGTTTTAGTTAAATTGAGGAAAACATAGCCAAAGAAATAAAACAGATTACTTACGAAAGAATGACAGGTAGAAACTGGACCAACAGCCGACCTCTCATTAGCAACAAAGCCAGAAAATATCTTCAAAACAATGGGGAAGAAAACATCAGCTTAGCACTGTATATTCAGCTAAACTATTATTCAAGGATGAGAGCAAAACAGATTTTTAGGTAACAAAAATTGAGCATTTACCACCAACAGACGCCCACAAAAGGCATTCTAAAGGAATTACTTCAAGAAGGAAAATTATCACAGAAAGATGGAATGAGACCAAAAAGGAAGAGCCAGCAAAAAAAGGGGGAACCTCTGAAGATCTTCCCCTGCCGGGCCCACAACTGAGAATTACGCAGCCCCGAGCAGCAGCAGTGCCAAGGCTGAAAACTGCAGCTGACACCCCTGGAAGACAACTGGTGTCTCCCTTTGGAACCATGTTCACTGTCTAGAGCAGGGGTCGGCAAACTGTGGCTCACGAGCCACTTGCGGCTCTTTGGGTACATTTCGTCTCAAAAGTTTGCCCCTGGAAGAGCCAATCCAGTCCCTCACAACAATGTAAAGATTATTCGAGAGCCATAAATATATTTTTACATAATCACCATTATGTGACTAATATCCTTTAAAAATTGTATAAATAAAACTATGACATTTTTATTTTCATTTTCAATTTTACTTCAAAGGCTGCGACTCGCCAGCTGCAGTTTGCTGACCCCTGGAGGCTTTTCCGTCTCAAGTTTTAGAATAAAGGTAAAAGTGTTTTGGGTCTTTATTTAGAAGTTTGGCGATGTTTTTGTGACCAGAACTACACCACCATAGGAACTTAACTCATTTACATCAACTTGCCTGGGGTAAAATTGGTTTCGTTATGTTGTTTCACTTAAAATCAGTTTCCAGGAATTCATGGACAACATTAAATGAGGACTTCCTGTATTTTCAAGATGCTGCCGGTGCCGGTTGAATTCTGGTGTGAAAGCCACAGACACAGGGGCCAACTGTATCTATCAAAGAAACTGAATCTGTAGTTAAAAAGCCTTCCAACAAAGAAAACTCTAGGCCCAAATGAACCCTATCAGACATTTCAGTAAGAAATAATACCAATTTGACACAACCTCTTCCAGAAAATAGAAGAGGTAGAAACACTCAACTCATTTTAAGGTCACCATTGCTCTAATGGCAAAATCAAACAAAGACATCACGAGAAACCTGCAGGCCAACATTCCTCATGACCACGGAGGCAAAAATCATCACCAAATATGATCAAATCCAGAAATATATAAAAAGGACAACACATCATGACTTAGAGGGGTTTATCCTTGGAGGACAAGCCTGGTTCAACACTTGAAAATGAATCAAGGTAATTCACCACATTAACAGATTAAAGAAGGAAAACCATGTGCTAATCTCAGACACAGCAAAAAGGATTTGACAAAATCCATTCATGACCCAAACAAACAAACACTCAGCAAAGCAGGAAGAGAAAGGAACTGCCTCAGTCTTATAAAGAGAATCTACAAAAATTCTACTGATGACGTTATCCTTAACGGTGAAGAATGAATACTGTCCCTTCCAGACAAGGGGGAAGAAGTGGGGCCAAGGGGCCAAGGCAAGGATGGCCTCGCATCTCACTGCTCAGCATCGGTCTGAAGTGCAGGGCGCCAAGGCAAGAAAAAGAAAGGGCAGTCGCTTGGCCTAGAGAGAAAGAAAGCCGTGTCCATCCCAGACAACGGGTGTTTACGAGGAAACCTCATTAAAGAATCTACAAAACAGCTCCTGGAACTAAGTTCATCAAGGTCACAGGGTACAAGGTCAGCGTGCAACAGTCAACTGCATTTCTACTTACAGTAATAAACAATAACACTTGAAAACAATACCATTAAAATAGCACTCTCCAAAAAGAAACACCTAGGTTTAAATCTAACAAAGTGTTATATGCAGGATCCGTATGCTAAAAATGATGAAACTCAAGCCCAATGCAAGTCCCAGCAGGCTTTTTGGGGACATCAACAAGCTCATTGTAAAATGTATGGGGACAGAGACAGGCAAGGAACCCGAGCAGCCGAAACAGCAGTGAGAGAGATGGACAGAGGCTGGAGGACCCACACCACCTGGTTCTGAAGTTACTGTGAAGCTACAGTGTGACGCCAACGAGGAGCAGGCAGACCCACGGATCTGCAGGACAGAACGGAGAACCCGGACCCACACAACTAATTTTTGACAAAGGTGCAAAAAATACTTGCAAATCACGTGTCTGACAAAGGACTTGTATCCACATATATAAAGAACTCTCAAAACCAAACAAAAGGGAAAAAAAGTAGGTGAAAGGTTTGAGCAAACACTTTATCCAAAACATATAAAGATGTCAAGTAAACGTGTAGAGGTGCTCAGCATCACTGGTCGTGAGAGAAATGCGAATTAAAACTCCAAGATACCACCGCGCACCTACAAGAATCGCTCAGTGTATGCTGTCCTCATGACTCAGCAATCCTAGGTATTCACCAGGAGAAATGAAAACATGTCCACACAAAAATCAGCAAGCGAATGATTGTAGCAGTTTTATTCATATCTCCAAAAAATGGCAACAACCCCTATGTCCTCCAGCTGCTGACCGACCGGACGGTGTGCAGTGGGACAGCACTGGGCAATGAGAAGGGACAAACTATTCACTCACATCACAGGGGACTCTTAGGGGCACTTTGGTGAACGACAGAAACCAGGCCCCTGCCTCCACGCTCTGGGATCCCACTTATGGGACACTCTTGAAAAGATAAAACCACAGACAGAAAAAATATATTAGTAGTTGCCAGGGTCAGAGGGAACGGAGGGAAGGGTTGACCACGAAGGGGCAGCATGAGAAATGCCACGAGTGACGTGACTGTCCCGTGTCAAGCCGTGGTGTCAAAATCCACACAGGCCCAGAGTGAACTGCAGTGAATGTAAATTTAAAAATCGGCTGTGATGTAGAAAGATGGAACGCAGCCAGCGACTGTACGTGTCTCACCCACGAATCACGTAACCACACTGATGAAGACAGCCACGGACCCAAACAGCCTCGGGAAATGCTTTGAGGGAACACTGACTGACGCGGTCCCACTGTCCTGCAGTTGGCACATGTGCTTCTCACAGAGCTAGGCACGATTTAGCAGTTCTGCAGGTGCCTTACCTGTAACGAGGATGGAACAAATAAGCAAATGCTCGCAGACAACGAGTCAGGTTTCTAGCTGTCACACAGGAGAGAGGTGGCTAGAACGAACCCTGAACCCTGTGGTGCTGGCTGCCGGCTGCCGCTGGAGGGGCCGCGGGGTTTGCTTCATTTCCATGCGGCACAGAAAGAGGTGTGCAGTGTGTGCCTGGGTTGGAGCTACAGGCATCTATCTCATTGTTTCATCAGTGAAAGGCACCGCAGCCGTAGCAACAAACACACCTAGCGCCCAGGTCTGGGTTTCCGGACACCAATGCCACAGTCGGTGGGTCCGGGGGAGAAGGTGGGGGGGCACACGGATGGGGGCTGTAGCCTCTGGCAGTCTGGGAAGAATGAAGTGCTGGGAGCAAAGTGCAGCGCTGAAGGGTGTGGGGGCCAAGCCGGAGGAAGCAACGTCAGTCCTGGACGGCAGGCCTCCTGGGAAACATGCCCGCGAGTCTGTGCTAACACAGCGAGTGAACGACGGGCCACAGCGCTTACAGGCAGCTTTTCCTCGCAGCACATTCTAACGACCACATGCAGGAGGACTGAGAAAACTGAAAGTCACCATTAGGACACCTCCTGCACAAGCTGGGGGCACAAATCTGAAAACAAATGTGATTATCTGCATAGTTCCAAAGCACCCCCCCCCCTCATATTAATTTAAAAAGGGTAAACTAGTAACAACAGTGGAGGACACCAACAGACATCACCTTTAAGTGACCAAGGCCAGCATCACCAGGACAGACACTGCCTACCCTGACCGACGCAGAGGGGGTATCTGTGTTTCCCTCTACAATAATGCAGAACTTTGAGGGAACATCAAACCCAAACGGAGGGTTTCTTCAAAGTAACACATCACTGCTCTTCAAAAGTACCAAGATCACAAACAAGGAAAGGCTGAGAAGTTGTCACGACTGGAGGAGAATAAGGAGGCGTGACAACTAACGGAGTCTGGGACCATGTATTACGTCATGAACAGAAAACGGGCATTACCAAAATCACGTCTGAGATTCGGTCTGCGGTTCAGAGAACGGATCGAAGCCTCGGTCTGGTCATTGTTTCCCAGTCCTAAGATGCTAGCATGGGGGAGCTGGGCGAGGGGTACAAAGTCCTTCTGCAACTTTACGTGAAACCCCAATTCTCTCAAATCCTCATGAACTAAAAGTACAAAGAAACGCACGGCAGTGCTGGCACCAAGTTCAGGGTCCCAGTTCACGCCGGTGGGAGGGGCGACCAGCCAGGTCGCTGCGCACACGAGGCTCCAACTATAGACGGATGTTTGGTTCCCAGCCGTGTGGACGGCTCAGGGGTGTAACTCCGTTTTTGCGCCTGAAAAACCTAATGCGTTTCTTGGAAAAGCCTCACTTCTAGATGCGGCGCGTGCACCTGCCTGTAATTCATTCATTATTCAGAGTGGCTGCGCGGCTGTCGCCTCTCGGCTCTGCTGCTGCCGGGACACCGGGGACCCAGGGGCGCGGCTGCGCTCCGGAAGTTGTTCAGGATCAGGCTGCACGCGGGACGCCAGGCTGAACGTAGGGAGACGGTGTTTTAGCTAAAACAGACCACAGGGTGGCGCTGAGACCACGCTGTCACCCCGCAGGCATCTCACGTGCGAACAGCAGGGGTCGCTGTAGCCCCGTCTCCCAAGCCTCACTCAGAAACCGCGGCACGATCATCTGACCATAGGGCCCCGTGCTAAGCAAAAAGGGGGAGCAGGTGGGACCTTGCTGATGGGCATTTCAACCCTGAAACCGAGGGAAAACCCATTGTTTCGGGGGAGACGGAGGGAAAACCTCCTTCCTGTTGGCTTGTTTCCCCAGTTATTTGCTTTGGTAATAACTTTTATTCTGGGCTCTACTCTAGCATACCAAAATTAGTTTTAGAATGTTTTTAAATGTTTTAAAGTATTCTAAGAGGACATTTATTAGAGCCTAAACCATCTGGTTTTCTATTATTTGCTGAACTTGTGGAATCTAGGTGTGCGCTCACTGTAAAACTCAACTTTATAGGTTGAAATTTTTCATTGGAAAAAATGTTGGGGAGAAAAGGGAGAGAGAAAAACAGAAACAAAGCCAACCCCTGACGATCCCTTCCTGCTGTGCTGGGTGTGATAGGACAGGGGGACCCGGCCTGGCCAAGCTGCGGAGGCCCTTGACCCAGGTCTTAGGATGAGCCCTCAGAATAAAGGGGGGCAGAGGAAAGGGCATGAGTGAAGCAGCTCGGGGTAGGGGTGGTGGTGGCAAGACGCCTGTGTGGGACACCACAGACGTGCTTGGGAAGCAGCTGTTTCCCCCTTTCTTCCTCTGGCCCCACCTTCAGACAGGACGTGTGGGGAAGTCTTAACCACTGCCTTCAAGGCAAGAGCCTCTCACCCCCGCAGGGCAGGGCAGCCCCCTGCGGGAGGGGCATGGAGCCTGGGGGGACACCGGCTCTGCATTCCACCTGGCGTCCTGCGCACAGCAGACAAAACCTCAAGTTCTTCAGGGAGAACTGGCTTTTTCCTGCTTTTTCAAGCTGCTTCTCTTCCACCCCTAATTCCAGAAAATTCATCTGTAACCAAGGATTGCTTCACATATGCTCCACTGAAGGCGCCAGTTAAATAGAATGGCAAAAACATACAGTATCACATATGCCCAACCCCCACAGTCACAATTCCTAAGAAAGGAGTTTACTTCCCAAGCTGGTGTGCCACTTTAGAGGAGGCATTTAGGACACCCTAAGACACGGAAACTTGTCTGTAATGCCTGCTGCTGGCTTGGAATTGCCCCGTACACGTCTCCTGTCATTATGACAGAAAGTTAAAGAGCCACAGCCTTAAAAACAATTCTCCAAGGTATTCAAATGCCAATAAGCACAGCACCGCTGGTCCTTAGAATGCAAACCACACCCACAGGAGGTAGTCACACCTCCCCGGAGGCTGTACTTTTCCAGAGGAAAACAAGTGTAGGTGAGGCTGTGGGGAGGTGGGACCCGTGGGCGAGCCTGGCGCTTCCTCAGAAAGTTAACACAACTACCAGACACCCCAGGAACTCTCCTGGTCGAAACCCACAGAGCTGAAAGCAGGGTTCACAACAGCATACTCACAAGTCAGAAGGTGAAGGAGGCAACCCAGACGTCCACCACAGCCGAATGGATAAATGTGGGATCATCACACGATGGAAGATTAGTCAGCCACCAAAAGGAATACACTTTAGGTACATGTGACAACTTGAAAGGATCTTAAAACACGATGCTAAATGAAATCAGACTCGAGGACAAATACTGTATGATCCCACTTATTCCAGGTACCTTGCAGGCAAATTCAGACAGAAAGCAGAGCTGTGGTTACCAGGGGCCGAGGGGGAGAACGGAAGCTGTGAACAACGGGTGCAGTTTATGTTGGTCTGCGAGTTTCGGGCACACACAACGGCGACAGTTACACAACATTGGGGCTACCTAAACCCACGGAATTGTACCCTTACCACTGGTTAAAGTGATAAACATGACATGCTTGACCACACACACGAAGGACCAAAGCACATTAGGAATTAAACGCTTCCTGGGTAGCGCGTCCGGCCCAAGACTGCCGCGCCGACCGCACCCAGCGGTTGTGCGCTCCACCCCACAGGGGTGGGCAAAGCAGGCTGGCGGCAAGGTGCCTTCACCAGGGACACATGTCACTTTTGGGTCAATCAGGAAAACGGCCCACTCTGAAGTGCTGACCCATCTCCAGGCCCAACCAGACCCCAAACACACCCGTTATGCAGATCGGCTCATGGACTTGAACACGTTAAAACAGCATGGATTTTATTGTCGAGGGACACTCAAGAGCACACTCCCCGTGCCACCAGCCAGCGGTGAGGCGTCCTCACGCAGAGCCGGCCACGGTGAGAGGAAACGGTTTTGCGGCGTTTCAGTAGCTTCGAAGGTAGAGCGAGTTTTCTTTCTCACGTCCTGAAAACCAAGCGTGTTTTCCTTTCCACGTAAAGGGAAGTATCTCCCCTCAGCCTTCACTCCAGTGTCTCTGTGGAAGGACGCATGCTGACCGCACACAATCCACCTCAAGTGGGGCGAGGGCCTGAGCACAAAACATGCGCTTGCCAGCGTACTCTGCACTCCCTGGAGTACTGCAGGGTGGAAAGTACAACTCTACAACTTATCGTAAAAGAGGGAGCAAGTTCCAGGAGTTTTTATTGTTTGACTAACAGCACACACAAACCCAGGCGGAGAAGCCCCCAAGGAGCTGACGGCATGTCTCGCTGCTGCCCGCCCTTCGGTCCTTCATCTTCTGAGCACTGAGTGTGTTTTCTTTTGAAGATGCCAGACATTTACCTTAATGACATATGCCATCCACGTGTGTGATCACCGTTTAACACCCCCCACGTTCCTTTAAATAGAAAAAGTGCTAAATGTCTCTTCGTAGCCTCTTCGGCCGTAGCTGTGCCGCCGGTGGTTTAGAAGCTGAGCGCCATGTGCGGCTCTGAGATCCCTCTGGAACTACAGCTCGTCCCGTCCCAAAAGTCCCTACTGATACTGTCGGTAGTCTCCAAACGGCGAGGGCGGGAGCTGGGCGGAAGGCAACTGCGAGGGGTCTTCAGCAAACTGAGGACCTGTGATGGAGAGAGAGAAGAACTTAGACACCACCTGATGTTTATAATTGAGAAGAATAAGTTTCTGCAGAGAGTAAGTCAATCAGCTCGACAAGCGTGGAGCACACAAGAGGCGTCGGCAACCTCGATTTCTCTGTAGGCCTAATTCCCATGACGGTGCGACACACGACAAACGGGCTCCCCTTAGGCTCCAGGGCAAACAGCTCTCAGTTGCTGGACAGAAGGTCAGACGGATCAATGACAGCAAGAAGCAGGAGTCAAGCCTTTACGGCAACTGCTGCAACCAGCTGCCACATCAAGCCTGGAAGGGTCTCTCACCTCTTGATATGCTTTTCAGTAGTTCTTTAACATTGTTTCCACAGAGTTTAAGTACCTTAGTCATGTTTTAAGAGAACTGGGCAATCCAATTTCTACAACCAACCAAGCAGGAAATGAGCTCTGAAGTGGGAAGATGCCCCTAGTTTGCATAGTCTTGTGGAATTTGCTTCGCGAACAGGAGGGCCTATAGACTAAGAAAAAATGTGGAGCTTAAAAAAAAAAAAAAAAAGACTTCTCTGCAAGTAACACTCTTTTCTGCAGGGGAAAGTTCTGGGCTCCCAACACTTCGCCCCACTGACACACACACTCTCACTACAAGGCAGCACCTGTTTGCTATCGAACACTTGAGGAGACACAGGGTGAAAAACAGAAACGAAGCTGAACCACTGTTACCATTCAGATATAGTGTTATCTAGTTTTTCCCAGAGTTTTAAGGACTTTTTCATGTAAGTTAATTGGGAAAATGATTAACTTTTCAAAGACCCTCCCCTACACAGTTCCTGTCAAAATAAAATGCAGTTGTTGTTTTTTTGGAGATTCCCTCTGAGGAAAAAAGCCCAAGGCAACGGAGGCTAATTTCTGTAAGACAACACAGCTAAGTTTTCGTCACATCAACTCCTGAATTTGTGAAAATATGGATCTTTTCTGATGTTTTATGTGAAGTCTTTTACACTGAAGTGGCACAAACAAGTTAGAAAGTGATCATCCTAACAGAGAATTAACTCAGACTAGTGACTGAAAACCAGAAACCTAAGGTGCGAGGGCCCGGGTCACAGGGTCGCCCCCTGGCCTCTGGAGAGAAGTGCGTTTGAAACAGTGCCGGTCGGCACTGCAGCGCTCACCGGGCACGCGGGGAAGAAGCCGGCCGGCACTGCAGCGCTCACCGGGCACGCGGGGAAGAAGCCGGCCGGCACTGCAGCGCTCACCGGGCACGCGGGGAAGAAGCCGGCCGGCGCCACAGCCTGTCCTCACCCTGCTCTGCTCACCCCGCTCCCCGGGGCCAGGGCAAGCCGTCACTGCCCTGCTAAACCCTCGGTATCTTCTCCTTCCTTCCACCGTCAAGGGCGGAGCCTGAACGGGAGCGAGCTGGCAGCCGGGAGAAAGGGCGCATTTAGGCAACTGGGCTTTCTGGGTCACAAGGCCCAGCAGGGCTGGCGTGCGGCACAGGGGTCACTCACCCACACTACCCTCCCCGGCTGTGGGAGGACAACTACCCAGATTATATCGCTTCTCACAAACAGGGTCCCCGAGGACCCTGAAGTGAGTCCCTTTCTTCAGAGCGAGCAGCACACTGGGTCTCATCTATCTGCCCACGGCTGGCCGGCATCTGGGTCTCATCTGTCTGTCCACGGCTGGCCGGCGTCCCCACCACAAGCCCTCATTCTCCACGACATGCCAGCGCCTGGGGCAGTGGCTGGCACACTCGTGTCCAGTGAGAACGTGCCGACCGACCACCATTCTCGTTACACATCTGCAAGGATCTCTCTTCAAGCACCTCTGGAATGACGCGCGATTTCCGAGAATGAGCACATGGGCGCTGATAAAACCTGAGAACTAAGGGAAGACGACCACGAGCAACTTACCGACCAAAGCACTTTAGCTCCAGTGGGTAAATTCAGTAACTGCATCCCGTCCGGCTTTTCAAATAGAATCAGAGCCCATCATCACAGTCCTCATGACCCACAGCACATTAATACATAACATAAAATCACTCGCATGTTTTAGCAGACAAAATGCATTTCCTTCAAACACCAGGAAACCATCCCGAACTGTCTGAGCAATGGTATTAAGCAGAAAAGACTCACCATTGGGAAACTGTGCAGAGGCAAATCTTGTCAACAAGATACCAGCTCCTTCGATTAAAGCTAGAAGAATGCCACCCATTGCGGCTGACCCAACCATGGCCACTGGTCCATCTGAGTACGTGAATAACAGAGAGATCACTTTGGTGGAAATCGAGTTTATGGAAGCTATAGCAAAGAGCCGTCCACATAGCTACATGCTGCCCCAGCCCCAAACCCGCTCTCACTGGCAGGACCAGGAGTCAACGAGCAATGGGCCACAGCTCGAATCTAGCTCACTGCCCGTTTATGTAAATAAAGTTTCATTGGAAAAGCTGTGCTCGTGCATTTCTGTATTGTCTATGGCTGCTTTCACGCTAGGAGCTGAGTCACTGTGATAAAGACCTCACAGTCCACAAAGCCTAAAACAGGTATTACCTGGCCCTCTGCAGGAAGTCTGCCAACTCCTGGCCCAAACCACTGAGCCCAAAGGAATTCTGGGTTGCTCTGCGTCCCAGAGGTGTGATTAATCCAGAGCACTGATGGGGAAGCGAGGGCACAGCAAGTCCGCAATGTGCTCTTAACCACTGTGACAGAGCTTGGCTCTGGTCCGCAAACATCCCTAACAAACCCCTGCTTCTTTTCCACAGCACCACACACTTGTGCAATGCCACACTAAGCAACGGTCTCATGCCACCCAGGTGCCACCCCGTTATGGCAGGGCGCCCCCAGCCCGGCCCCCACGCGCGTGCCTGCGGCGAGCGCTTACTTCTCGCCGCCAGGATGGCTCCCGTCAAGGCCCCGCTCGTGATGGAGTTCCAGGGGTCCTCCTTCCCTCTGACCTGAACCATGCTGCAGTCGATCATGGAGAACAGACCGCCCCACACTGCAAAGCTACCTGTTATTTAAAAACAAAACAACACCCAATTTCATTTTTTCATCTTACATTTAAAATGTTACAGTAAAGAATATGTTTCAATAACAAATACACACAAACACAAATTGAATAAATAAGCACTGAACAAAAGTCAGGACGCTTATTTTTTTTTAACACAGCTTGGGTTGTCTTATATCGGCTGGGAAATCAGCAACAGCCCCAAGCCTCCAAGAAAGGAGCAGGCCTGGAAGAGTCAGGCTAGGGACATCCAGACCCCCTTTCAGAACGAGCGGAAAACCAAGCCCCCGGCTTTCTTCTCCGGCTCTGGCCGCTCTGCCTCACCTCTGCGGGGTTTTTTTCTTCATGAAGTGTCACTGGGAGTCTACTCTACGAAAATCACCAATGGGGACACAAGCGACCCAGATTTTCTGGAATGCATTCCAGGTGTAAGCCCACACATGCCAACAAGGCACATGATTGATAAAGCAGAATTACGGGGCATCAAGAGGGTAGGAACCACCGTTTCTCTCTGCTTTCTACCCTTGATGCCTCAAGCATGGAACTAAATCCTAGATCAGATTACTTTGCTCTTAAAATAAACTCTTCCTAGACACAGTAACAATTTGCAAAATAAAAACCAAACACCCGCACACATACAAGAACATACAAAGTCTGGAAAGACACCAAGATTTTCACTGTCAGCATCGTGGGTGACATACAGATGATTCCATTTCTTTGTGCTTTTCTTTGTGTTCCAGTCTTCTACACGTAAACCATCTTTCCCCCATGAAAATATAAGGCTGCCTGTCCTGGTTCTTAATTGGAAGAGCTCAGTAAGTGCTCACTGTATTCAATTGAAAATGTCATCCCAGTATTTTTTTTTAGCTGAGCCATCCTGCCACCTGTTGGCAGCTCAGCAGCAGCTCAGTTCAGGCCAGGAATGGAACCAGCGACCCTGTTGCTCAGAGCTTGCACTCTTGAGTGAGCTCTTAACCAACAGAGCCACTCGGCCAGCTCGGTATTTTTAAAATTCAAGACACCATAAAGATTTCTCATTTCCTTAAAAAGGTAGACCCCAAGGATCTGAAACAAATAATGCCGAGTCACTCAGACCCTGACATCCTCTCCCTTTATTTCACCCCGGCTTTTTTTTTAAAATAAACTTGGAATTACAGAGAGGTTGTCAAGGTAGTACAGAGGGCTCCCACGTGTCGCACACCCAGTTCCCCAGTTCCTAACATCTCAGGTTAGCACAGGGCATTTGTCACCATTAATGGCCGAATATCGACCATTACTACCTGAGGTCCATACTCAACTCGGATTTCCTTAGCTTTTATGTCCTTCTCTGTTTCAGGATGCATTCCACTTAGTCCTCATGTCCCCTTAGGCTCGTCTTGGCTGGGACAGTTACCTGACTGCTTATTTACTGGAAATGCCTACGTGATGGAAGCAGGCTCTCAAAGCCATGCAAAAACTTGTGAAAATCTGTACGGCTCCTGCATGCAAGGGAGGCCCAGGTCGGTGCGGATTTTACCACTGCTTACCATTCTTCAACAACATGGTAAACATCAAAACAAAGGAAAATTAGCCACTACTTACTTTCCAAGGTGTACAATTATTACAGAGGGGGGGAAAAAAGGAGAAAGATACCATCACTCTAACTCTCAGAGTTCCATTTCCTCAGCTGGACAATGGGGGTGACAGTACTTACCTCTGAAGTTGCCGTGAGGATTAAATAAAAAATGCTCAGCACACAACACACACTCAATAAATGGTGGCTGTGAGCTACTGGACTGTCCTCTAAAAAAAAATAATAATAACGCCACAAAGATAATACTGTATCTCCTGCCGCACAAAATCACTAAAGAATGACGAAGTATTCAGTCTTCTTCGTGTATTGTGTGGCCTCTCCAAGCCGTTTGTGTAAGTGAATATAACCTCCACACTCTTTTATCAACCTCTGTTCTCCCAGCTTCTGAATAACCAAGCTTAAAAAGGGCGATGCATGTCACCTTTCCCAGTTCTGCGCTGACCTCTGGCCAATGTCCCAAAGCCAACCCTGGAGAGGAGCCCGACCAGCTCACCCGGCGTCTCTCCCGTGAAACCCCAGCCTTCACATCCCACCGTCTTCAGCTGTATGTTACCCCGGGGGCCAGCACTCCTCGCTCTTACAAACCTGAGCCTTAAACACACTGTCTTTCTTTTGGATAAGAGCAGAAAACATGACAAAACAGAACACCACCGAGCGCGTGGAGGACAGACAAGATTTTCAAAACAGAAGCAACAATTCAAGTTAATCTCTGAATAAACCATAAGTCAAGAAGAACCTACAGAGATATTCATTTGTAACAAACTGTTAGACTGAACTAAAAACAGTAATTGGTGTAATCTAAAAAAGGAGAAACCAGAGCTTCATCTTCAAATAAATAGAAAGAGCCTGGAGCACAAATGGAGAACTTCTGCGTTCGTACCTCCCAACTGCGGAGCCCTGGTTTTAATAGCTGTCAAGCTCCCTCGTAGTCTGTGGTTTACTCCCTATAAAAAAGCAACCAAAATTACATTAGAAGTTTAATACATTTCCAACCCACTAATGGGGCTGTCAGTGACATTATTAGCAAACCTAGGTTTCACGTGGTAATAAAATAAGGCCATTCACCCACTTACCACTGGAGAATTGCGAAAACCTTTGATTGCTTGAAAGATGCCACCACCTATGGTGCCCATCGTAAAGGCCCCTCCACAGTCATCCACAATTCGCCAGGGGCTAAGAACAAGAGAAAAAAGACCGTGTTTCTATGCATGAACCATAAAACCTTTGTTAACACAGTAAGGGGTGCAACGGATGACAATGCTGAGTCCCCTGCCACCAATAAACACTTAGCCCCAAAACACAGACAAAGATGAAGGATACCCAACACTCCACACCTATTCAGCCCCAAGTCACCTAAGCTAGAGGTCAGCAACACGTAACAGCGTATCCAGTGTAAGTTGGGCACTGAGCAAACAAGTGTGCAGGGAACTATGTTATAATCAAGAACGCTGACCCAGTCTCCTAGGGACTGAGGTAACCTTTCCAGCTGCAGTGCAATTTAAAGCTGAGATCCAAAGAACGGAGATTCAATCAGTGCAGAGGAAGACAAATTTTTCAGTTTGAAATTCTTTCTGGGTTTACTGAGTCCAAGTTAACATTTAGAACTTTAGTTTGTAGCAGACCCAATGAACACACTGGAATATCCAATAATTAGAGGGTAAATCCGTAAACCAAGCTTCCAAACTTAGCGCCCTCACTTACGTAACACACCAGAATCTGAGTAATCTGATCAGAACAGAACTAGTAGCCTAGAAATCTGGCTTTAAAGAAAGTCTGTGAATAAACTCATTTTCAACCCACTATAAATAAAAGACTTTTCTTTTATCTAGTGTCAAGGGTCAAATGCTATAATGAGCCTATGGGCAAGCTACCTGCTCAAGTAAACCTGTGAGCGTACTGATGCTGCAGGAGGATTTGAATAATGAGTAATTTCTGACTTGGCCAGACAGGGATGCAAAACCGCGCAGGCTAAACACCACATCCTTTGCAAGTAACACAGCTCAGGGCCACCCAGAACGGCTGCCTCAGGCAGCAGACACTCCACTGGTCTGATTGGCAGGATGCTCTGGACCCTTGCTCCCCCAGGCTTGCTTTTGGAGTCAAAGCCAGCAGCACCTGTGAGCTTGTCAGACACGCAGACTCTTGGGCCCCAACCAGGACCTACTGAATCAGAGTCAATAGTTTAACCCCAAGCACAGGTGACCTGAATTCACTGTATGCGTTTGAGGAGCAGCACTGGGAGACTAAAGAGGATTATTAGGAAAATTTCTTTTAAATGATAGAAACATTAATTGGAAGTAGAGAGGAAAGACACAGGAGAATGAATTAGTGGTTCCCTCTGAGTGGTGGGTAACTTTCAAAGATCCAGCGTAAATGATCTCATAATTAGTTGGAGCTGAAATTAATGTAAGGAACAGAATTCAGAGCAGGAAGCAGCCAGAACATGTATTCCACGAGACAATGTCCACAACAGAGGCAAGATGGAATATTTTCTGAACAAAGTCCTGTGAAACCAAAATGTTCCTGCCAGGGAAGTGATGGGCTACACGAAAGAAAGGCTGAAGCCAGAATCTAACAGGATGCACATGGCTAGGCAAAGACAGGCCACAGGGAACCAGTAACTAACTGCAACAAGGTTAAAAGTCATGCTTTATTAAGTATCAACTATGTTTTAGGTGCCTTATAAGGCAAATAAAACATGATTTTCAAGAAAGCTACATGATTTTCCTCTAGAATCCTTGTCATTTAACTTTGCAAAAGAGTATCCCTGTGTGCTGGCTCAGAGATTAAGTAACTTGCCCAAGGTCATATAGGCAGAACTAGTGGAACTGGTTTAAATACAAAATGTAGTAGTGCAAAGCCCCCAAATTCTTTCCACTATATCATCAAGACTAAGGGTTTTTGCAAAGGAAACGTATGATACAAAGTAGGATGTGGCAAGCCCTCCTTTAGGATGAATGAGTCCATGTGATGTATTAAAGGAGGCTGGAGATAAGGAGAGCAATTAGGAAGCTATCGAGAAAGGCATTAGGGACGCCAGGTCCTGACAATAGGAACCAAAGGCACAAGTTTTGAAAGATTTCAGACTGCTTATGGGGTGGGAGTGCGGGTGGGGGGAGACACTTATAATTTGAGCTTGGATGACGAGAAAATGCTCTTACCGAACAGGGCAGTCCAAAATATCAAAGCAGTTTTGACTACAAAACGACCCAGACAACTTTCTGTATCGCTTCCGAACACACCCACTAAGAGAAAGCAGAGGCCACCTAATGACTTAGGATATGAAAACTCATTATTCCTGCAACATCTGTAACTTAAAAAAGTGAACTAATTTACTCTCCTGCCAGCCTGTGTCACCGCACCACGTCTAACAGTAACTGATACCAGCAGCCTACAATGTGCTGGCTCTGCATGTCTGAGCTCCATCCAGCGGGGAAGGGGGGGCAATCACCTCTGGAGAAGGCAATTTTAAAGAGCGGGGCGATGCTGAAACATGCCCACTTGAGGGGAGGCACGAAGCAGGCAACATGGCCACAGCTGGCAAGATAATAATATAAAGTCCCTGAACAAACGACAAACAAACAAAAACCCCAAACTCACACAGACAACAGAACGGTGGTCACCAGAGGGGAAGGGGGGTGAAGTAGGAGGTGGCAGGTGGAGACTAGACTTCAGGTGGCCCGCACACTACAGAGTACACAGGTGCTGTATTATAAAGACGCACACCTGAAATTTATATAACGTCATTAACCAAGTTACCCCGATAAATTTTTTTTTTAAAGGGTGTGAACCACCTGGAAAATAATTACACTCACTTTCTAATCTCCTAAAGTCCTGGGCACAACTTGAAAGCGCCAACACAGCAAAACAGGTGGCTAGCCCCAGTAACGACCTGGCTTTCCCCTTACGACCCCACACGCCTCTCTCACGGCAACCGAGCCCTGGGACTGATCGGCGTGTGCGCCCGACTCAGTCACGCCTTTGTCCCGTGAACCTCACGAAACGCTGAGCGCGGGCCTCGCACGCACGCTCCGAATGAATGAACGCGTTTCCCGGGCACGGCTTTCCGGAGAACACCTGCTACCATCGCCATCACTTCCAGGCAGCGTTTGCCCCTCGCCCCCTCCACGGGAGACCCCCAAGCGCCGAAGCGAGGCCCCCGCGTCCGGGGGCTTCTCGGGCCCCTCCGTTCCGCTCGTCTGAGAGGCGGACACGTATCGCGATACGAAGCCTCGGGCCCGGCCTCCCCTCCTCCGCGCAGGAGCGGAGCCACGCGCAGGGCAGGGACGCGCCCAAGGTCACCGCGGCGGGCGGGGGGCGCGACTGCTGAGCCCGCGCAGGGTCGGCGGGGCCCCGGGGCGGGAGCTGGTCCGAGGCTCGCCCCGTCAAGCCCAAGCCGGCACCTCTCACCGTCCAGCGCAAGGTCACCGGGGGGCCGGGGGCGAGCGGCCCGGGCGGGGAAGCCGACGGGCCGCTGCAGCCCGCGCCGCCCCCGCTTCCCGCCCCCGCGCCCACGACCTCGGGAGCCCGGACAGAGACGAGCGAGGGCCGACAGACAGACGCAGGGAGGGCGCCGGGCACGCTCACCACGGCTCCCGAGCGTACTCCTCCATCTTGACTCCAGCGCGCGAGCGACGCCGGGAGAGCGGGGCGGGGCCTGGCCCGGAGGCGGAAGTGATGCAAGAGGAGGGCGTTCAGCTCTGCGGGATTGGCTCGCCTGTTCCTCCCTCGGCCAATGGGAGCCCGGAATGGGGGCGGGGGCGAGGCTGGCCCCGCCCCAGGCCCCCGGCGGCGGGTCCGAGCCGGCTCCCCGTCACGGGAAGCTCGGCGGCCTGAGGGAAAGCCGTGTGTCTGCGCTGGGTTCACAGACTCTAAATATTTTCCCTTTTTTTAGTACTTTGGCTGCCGGCCCAATTCGGCCTCATTTGTGAAGCTGTCACGTAGCCCTTAGGGCGACAGGGTCGTGGTCCTCGAGTCACCGGACCCGGCCTGGGGTCCCCGGATGTGGGCGAGGTGCCGGCACCAGTTCGCGGCCCTCGACTGGAGCGACAGCGACCGCAGAGCCTCCTCTGGGTCTCCCTCCACATGGGGCCGAGGACAGCGGACGGCAGGACGGGGCCGTGGGCCCCTGAGCTCGCCGTCCGCGCGCCTGTCCCGTGGGGGCCGGAAAGGCGGCTCTGCTCCGACCGGGCTGCGCGCTTGAGGCTAAAAGAGGTGCACGTTGGCCCTTGACCAACAGGGGGGTCAGGGGCGCCACGCCCACCTCAACGCAGGCGAAAACCCTGGTGTATCTTCTGACCCCCTAAAAACGTCGCCCCCCGTAGCCTAGTGTTCACCAGAAGCCTCGTGTATGGTCGATTAGCACATATTCCGTGTGTCATATGGACTGTTTGCGGCATTCTTACCATAGCGCCAGCGTCAGTACCGGTGTCAATGTCACCTTCCAGGAACGTGCAAGGGAGCAAACCACAAGTGAGTGACAGGACCAGGAACCCTTTCCGCTCCGACCCAGCCCGCAGGGGACGCAGCGGGCAACGCCGAGTCTGCCCCTCCGGACACCCGGCGCTCCCCCTAGAGCAGCGACCTTCCTAATGCCGCGCCCCCTTAATACAGCTCCTCATGTTGGGGTGACCCCCAACCATAAAATGATTTTCGTTGCTCCTCTATAACTGTAATTTTGCTACTGTTATGAATCGTAATGTAAATATCTTTTTGTTTTCCGATGGTCTTAGGCGACCCCTGTGAAAGGGTCATTGGACCCCCAAAGGGGTTGCGACCCACAGGTTGAGAACCACTGCTCTAGAGGTTCCTGGGCCTGGGGGGTGGAGCTCCACGGAGCCACAGGCTTTGGGGGCCTGAAGAGCTCCGCCCCCCAGGCCACAGGCTCCAAAGCCCCCAGTGCCATCTGCTCCGTCGCCGAGAAACTCCGGTTGGCATGGACAAGGAAGCCTCGTCCCACGGCCAGCCCTTGGGTTTGGGGTTCCAGCCTGTGACTGGGGCCTGTTCGGTGGGCAGAGGGGTTCTAGCCTGGCCGGGGTCGGGGCGGGGAGGCAACCTCTCATCTCCTCTGCCCTGTGTCCCTCCCGCTGCTGTCCTTTCAGGAAGACGGTCGTCTGGCTGTGCCCGGTCTCAGAGCTCGCGCCCCGTTTCTGCTCATGCCAGGAGGCCAAGCCGGCGGCTGCTTCCAGAGACAAAGCCGGCTGCTCTAGAGAACCTTCCAGCTCCCCCGAGAGAGAACCGCTGAGATGACACGCCGAGCGCCGTGCTGTGCGCTCAGCACGCCTTGCCTCACAGAGGGTGTTTTGTAAGCCCGGGACCCTGTGAAGAGGCCCTTCCTCGAGGGAGGCACTCGCAGTATCCTCACTTGCCGTTTCCTAAGGCCCCGAGAGGTTAAATAACGTACCCAAGGTCACACATCTCAGATTTGAGCCCATGTCATTTGACTCCAGAGCCTGTGGCCTTATCTGCCATCCTATACTGCCACCCTATATTCCTCAAAATGTGACTTTTCTGGGGTCACTTGGCCCCACTGAGAGCCAGCCTAAACACTAGTTACACTGGTCCTGGTTCCCTGCTCCCCACACACAGGCCGTGTGTTCGGCTAGAGCGTGGGGTCTCTCTCCCCTTTCTCTCCCATCACCCCCTACACAGCAGCACTTGTTTTCCTCGGGGGAAGAGGCCGTGCCAGCATCCCCTGACACCCAAGATGAACTTGTTTCAGGTGGAAGTGGATCCTGGCCTTGGATAACCGTTGCCCCTACAGAGTGGGGGGCGGGGGCTGTGGCCCCTCATTGCAGGGGCTGGGGGAGGCTGCCCTCCTGGGCTCTGGGTCCCCCAATCCTCCAGCCACAGCTGTGATGCCTTTCAAGAGAAAACTTAGAGAGTCTGTGAGTCGCGGGGAGCCCTGGGGGCTCGGGGGGAGCGAAAGGCTTCAGGCTGGGTCAGGTCAGAAGGGCCCGCTGTTTGGAGGACCTGAGGCAGAGGAGGCACTGGGGTCACGTGCACAAGCCTTTGGTTAGGCGGCCGTGGTCCTGACTTTACGTCTGGGAGCTGTGCGTTTATTTTTTGAGTGTGTCCCTAGAGCAGAGACTTGCGAGCCTAGAAGAGAAGGGAAACCAGGACGTGCGGGGGCTGGAGGTGGGTGTTTGTGAAAAGGGTCGGGCCCACTTCAGGACGAGTGAACACCCTGGGCAAAAGGCCGGAGGACGAAGGGTCCCTGGAAAGGAGCTGCTCTCAGCCGACCGGGGGTGGAGGGCGGCTGAGGTGCTTCCAGAGCCAGGAGTCCTGGAAGATGACGCCTCTTCCAGCATTCTCCTTCCGGGCGAGAGTGAGCGTGAGGAGTGACTGTCCTGGGGAGGGGCTGGAGCGGGGGTTGGGGTACAGGAGCGCCCTGCCCCCCAGCATGTCTGAGCCCGCTCCAGCCAGCTCAGCCCTCTGGGACACCCCTTGAGCCCCCCCCACACACACACAGAACTCAGGGGTCTTGCGCTGAGCTCCAAACAGTTGCTTCTCCTGCTCTAGCTCTGATTTGCCTTACAGTGTAGTCATTTCTCACCCCATTAAGTCAGGCACTTAAAAGACAATAATCACGTTATAATTATTTCTGTGCCTTTCTCCCTGTCGTGCTTGGCAGGGTGCTGGATATACACCGCAGTACCTGAATAAATGCACGAGCAAATGAATGAATGAGAACGTGTGTGTGTGTGTGTGTGTGTGTGAGTGTGTGTGTGGTGAGGGTGGTTACTGCTGAAGGATAGAAAGCTGGGATTGGAAGGAAAGAAACCAGGACGAGAGAGTCAATAGACACAGTTAGAATAACTGCTAATAATCATTGAGAGTTTACCTGTATCAGGTATGTCAACTAAGTGTTTCATGTGTATGTGTTTGAATTTAATGTTCACACAATAATGTGCAGGGTTGGTACAACTGCTGCCCCTGTTTTACATACGAGGAAGCTGCGTCTCAGAGAAGAAGGCAGCTGGCCCAGAGTCGCGTGGCCGGTAAGTAGCAAACCAGGACCCGACACGGTGTGCTGGGCAGCAGAGCCCACGCAGTTTTTGTCGTGGCAAAACTGGTCTCAGGGCTACACACACTCAGGCGTCCCGCATTGTAGCCTGATGTGTGTGCTCACTGCGTAGCGTTCATCTGAAGCCTGGCTTCCGTCCAGCACCCATCGATGGCCGTCCCCGTCCCCCCAAGCCCCGGCCCCACAGCCACCAGTCTGTGCTCTGTGTCCGCGAGCTGCTTGGTTTGCTTTTAGATTCCACACAGAAGTGGGATCACACGGTGTTCGTCCCCATGAGAGCCCAGGCCTCACGGAGAACCCACCCTGCTCTGCAGCCTCCCGGAGCCTCGTAATCATCTGCTGAGGCACTTGGTAGACTTTTCATTTTTAGCGACTTACTTGCAGTCCGTGGCCGAGGATCCTCACTGTTAGCGTGGGCTCCAGGCCCAAGGGGCCGCCCTATGTTCTATCTTTAGTTGTGTCCCCTGCTCTCAGAACAGGGCCTGCCACCTCTTAGCAGTGACGACCCCGAGACCCTGGGGCCCTCCTCCCACGCTCCTCTCAGGCCTGCCGGCCTCACTTCTGCTCACCGGTCCCATCGGTCAGCAGCGTCCCCTCCTCATCCCTAATCTGAAGCTGGACAACTGGGCGTGAAACGTAGGGCCGGGTTTTGTCCCAGACGATCCCTGAGCTCGGCAAATGCTGATCAAGTGACTGTCTCTGGCTTAGGATGGAAAGACGCCAGGAAAGATCGAAGCATCAAGCCCGATGGGTTACACCAGGGCTTCTAGAAGCGAGTTGGTGGCGGGAGGGAGGGGCAGGAGATTGAATGTCTCTGTGACTTGTGCACGGCAGCGTGCCGGATGAGCCCTGGAGCCCTTTTATGAAACATGCCAGCCCAGCTGCAACAGGACCTCTCCTAACAGCCCCGAGTTGTGTTTCCCTGAAGACACAGGGAAGCGTGCTCTGGACGGAGATGTGGGTGGCCGCCTGCCCCGTGGCTCCCCAAGGAGGTCTGCCCACAGATGCCCAGAAGCAGCAGAGCACCAAGGGAGGTGCCAGCCTCGTCCAGAGCCTGGGTGCTTCGTGGGCAGTGACGGCCCTTTAGGGGCTTCCTGACTCCACAGGCCGCGCTGTCTTCCCCAAACATTCTGCCAGTTTGCAGCACGAGGACTTCTTTCAGCTGAAGAAGTGGCCAGGGCAGGCGGAGGCCCCTTGTGTGGGCACCCAGGCTAGTGCTGGCTGCAGAGAGCGAGGGCGGGGACGGTCAGGAGCCCGAGTGGGGAGTGTTCCTGGGGCTGTAAACGACCCGGAGCCCCCCCCCACACACACACACACACAGCCGAAGACAGGAGAGGGGAGTGGGTGGGCCACTCACTGACCACAGGGCGCCCAGACGGCCACCCGCCCCACACGAGAAGTCGAATGTGCGCTTGAAGGGCACGAACCGCCACGGCCGTCCTTGCCCTCCCGGCTCTCCCGAGCTGGGACCTGCGTCTGCCAGCCTCTGCATTTTTGTATCTTTTTCTCATGGCGTGGCCCCCTTGTCTTTAAAAGGCTAAATGCTCTGTACTAAATTTGGTCACACAGCGCTCCAAGATTCTCTGGAATGTCCTCAAGTTTCAAACCGCTCTGACGGTGAGGCCGGCCCGCCCCCGCTGGGGGATTGGCCTCTCCTTTCAGGGCCGGGCAGTCTCCCGGTCTTATTGGCCGCTGGCTAGACCAGCCAGGTCCATAGCCCTGGGCTTGGGGAGGCTGCCGCTGGCTCCCAGTTAGCAGCAGTCCAGCACCTGTGGCACGGCCGTCCAGTCTCTGGGGTCTGCGCCCAAGCCCACTGTGCCCCGTCCAGATCAGCTGGCCCCCCTGGACTGCCGCAGCCCCTGCCAAGATGTCCAAGGTAGCTAAGTACCGCCGGCAGGTGAGTGAGGACCCCGACATCGACAGCCTGCTGTCCACCCTGTCTCCCGAGGAGATGGAGGAGCTGGAGAAGGAGCTGGACGTGGTGGACCCTGATGGCAGCATCCCGGTGGGGCTGCGGCAGAAGAACCAGACGGAGAGGCCGTGCACGGGCGCCTACAGCCGGGAAGCCATGCTCAACTTCTGCGAAAAGGAGACCAAGAAGCTTATTCAGAGGGAGCTGTCCGTGGACGTGAGTGAGCCCAGTGTGAGAGGCGGGTAGGCGGGAGGGCTGGAGACCCTGTGCGCGGCTGGGGCTTCGGGCCCTAGAGGAAAAGCGCACGGCCCAGAATCCCGGCTTCAGAGCCCGTCTCGCGCCCTGAACGGCAGGCAGCGGGCAGCCCTGCGCCTAGGTCCCCGTACAGAGCAGGGGTGTGCTGCGCTGGCGGACGCGAATGCCCGCGGCGTCAGACCAGGAGCTGGGGGGTGTCCTGGAGCGGCACCCCGGCCCCGGCACCTGTGGGTTTTCCTTCACACTCATCCCATCCACTTGTGAGCGGGGTGGAACGATAGAACGATGCTTGCAGCCTCCTGCCAGCCAAGAAGAGAAAGCTAAACCCTCCTCTTGGAGAACGGCTCATTTTTAAGCTCTCTGGCCCTGGGGGCTGCTCACAGCATATGGACCGTTTGAGGAGGCTTGGGCAGGTGGGCTGGGGGCTCCCCACAGCAGTGGGGCCGGGGGGCCTGCGCAGCGTGTGGCTTCAGCAGCATTGCCGGGAAGGGGTGGGGTGGGGGGTGCACTTGCTGGAGGAGCCTCATGAGGGAGCATCTCCCCCCTCCTCCTCTGGTCAGTCGGCAGGGGCCCAGATGGGCCCGGGAGATAGTTCCCAGCAGCGTTTTGCCCCCTCCCTCTCCAGGGACAGAGGCGGGGCAAGCGGGGCTGTTCTAGAAACTTCTGCCCAAGCAGAACCTGCTTTCTGTCGTCTGGGGTCGGTGTGGAGGCTTCTCTTCCTCGCTGTGAGTTCCTGTGTGGGCTTTCTTGGGATAAAGCGACTCGCTCCACCTGGGAGCGACTCAGGTCCCCTCGTCCCCTTGTCCGTGGGGAACGCCGCGGAGCAGGAAGGCAGCTGAGCGCCCGCGGGCGTCGCTCCCTGGTTCCCGTCACTTGTGAGTTCTTGCAAGAAAACGTTTGGTCTCCTCAGTTCCCGTCCTGTGCTTTATTCCGGTGGAGCTGACGCTCAGGGCTTCAGATGACAAGATCATTGTCACCGAGGAAACGGGAGGGCAGTGCTGTCATCTGGAACTTCTGTGACACGTCTGTCGGACACTTGTCACAGAGCACGTTTGTGGACGCAGCCTTGGCTCCTTGGTGTGGGGAGGCGGGGGAGGGGACGAGGGAGACGGACGTAGAGGACCTGGGGTCTGTGTCCATCCCTCTGCCCGGGCCCCAGAGGCTCCGAACTCATTATTCTTGGGCAGGCCGTCCGCCTCCGATGGTGGTGAACACAGACGGGCATATTTGAGGAAGAAATAAGCGTGGGGCCCTCCTGTGAGCACCCGGTGCCTCAGCATGGGAAACAATTGTAGGGCAAGAAAGGTTTCCTCGGGGAACCCCCACTTGGACCCCAAAGTGTCACCCTGCAGCTTGCCCCTCCCCCCAGTCCCCAGGTTCTGTGCCCATGACTGCCGTGTGCCCAGTGGCTCCTGGTACCCAGAAAGATACTCCTGAGGCTGCAAATGCTCGACACTCTAATCCCAAAGCAAGAGCGTGTGAGCGGAGTCCAGTGTGCCTGGAATTTCATCCTCACAAGCCTTGTCCCTCAGCCAGTCCTGACGGGCAGGCCCCGCCTCCACCCGCCTCCCTCACCCCTGCCAGGTGCACACTTGTTTCTGCAGGCAGAGCCCAGGGAAGTGTGTGCATGGACGCCCACACGGGCACATCCTGGCCATTTTTCCCTCAGGGGTGGGCTGTCCTCAGCTGGCGGGGGCTGATGTTGGCAGTGTGGCTGACCGGAGTGCGAGGCACAGCCAGGGCCACGGCAAGGTCCTCTCTGTAAACGGGGAGTGAACCCTCAAAAGTGGCTTCCTTACAGCGTTAGCAAGATGGTGGGTGTGGGGCTGACAAGGCAGGCTTAAGTGCCAGCGTCTGCTACAGGCTGTGCGACTGAGCAGCTCGCTGCTGACCTGAGCCGGCTCGCTTTCCTCAGTGACAAAGCACCAGACAATCCTAGGATTGTCGTGAAAACTAAGCGAGAAGAGCGCTAGGCACTCGGCACAGGCTCGGCATGCAACCAGCGCTCCGTAATGGCAGCTGTGAAATTACTCACTCATGGAGGCGAGACCCAGAGGCGGGGGACGCGAGCAGAGGCTGTCCCAGGGTTCGGTCGTGGGGGAGTGAGCAGCAGACCTGGGCTCTGGGGGTGGGGCGATGGGCCCCGCCGACGAAGCAGCAGGTGGGGCGGCGCCGGTGGCCTGGACACCGTGTCTTGAGCAGAAGGCCGTCTCCCCTGCCGCGAGGAAGTGGGCAAGGTGACCACTCGCTGGGAGCCTGCTGTAGATAACAAGCAAATCGCCTTCTGTGAAAGCCTCACAGCTCTCGGGAAGCATGTGGCTTTCTCCCCATGATACAGATCAGGACACTGAGGCTCACATGACGGCCCCAAGGTCACTCAGCGATTAGGAGCCTGCCTGGCTTTGAGGACCGTGCCTCCTGCTGTCTGCCTGGCACCAGGGTACAGAAGGGGACTAGTGCCAGAGCCTGTGCTGAGCTTATCATCCAGTTAGGGTCCCAGGACACGCCTGCTGCAGCACCAGACACGCTCCGCACTCAGGTGTTGTGGTCGGAGCTGTGGCTGTGACACAGGCTGGCCTGGCAGGATGCACGTCCCAGTGCCCGTGACCAGGGACGGACCTGTTAAAAGCAGGACGCACATCCTGCCTGTGTCTCGTGTGCCTAGGAATCCTGGTTAGGTCCTCGTAGGTGGGACGGTGGTGTCGTGGATACGCTGAGTCGAGGATGCTTATCTTTTAGATGAGGACACCGAGCTGTTGTGGGAAACACTTAGCGAATTAAGGAATCCTGTAAAATAATGCGGCCGCGGGGAGTGCTGAGCTGAGACTGTACTGCTTGGGAACATTGGAGCTGGGTGATGAGGCCTCGGGGGGTTCGTTACATCGTCTCCCTACTTTCGTGTGCCTGTTTGAAATTTTCCAGACTAATTCTTAAGAAATAGACAGAAACCAAGCGTGGAAGGGGGCCCAGTTATTGTCTTAAGCTCTGGGTCTTCCTGGGGAGGGGAGCCCCAGGATTCAGACTGGCTGCCGTGTGGGTGGTGCGACCTCTGTCCTGAGCGCGCCCCCCTCCAGCCCACCCCGTGCTGTCCTCAGGTCTCAGGCGCCACTTCCTCCAGGTGGGTCAAGCCCCGCTGACACCAGGCGTTGTGCCGACCTATCCTGATGTCACCTTGCTGTCACATCAGTTTTCTGTCTCTTCCTCTGCAGTGAATGGATGTTAGCAGGGGGATCAGGGTGAGGCCTTGGGGGGCAGAGCTGAGCCCCGGCTGTCCTCCGTCCCTCCTTTTAAAGGGGAAGGTCCCTCAGCAGGGTCCTTCCCTACAGGTACAGGACCGAGCCCCTGGGCAGGTGTGCAGCCTGCTGCAGTGAAACCCTGTCCTGGGCTCCGATTTCAGGAACTGGATCCCAACAGGTCGGCTCATGTGTCCTCTTTCTTTCCCGAGTGGGAAAGAAAACCTCCAGCCTGCCTCCCAGGCTCCCCGCTGGCGTTCCCAGGGGCGCAGGATTAGCACCTGCGTCAGCCAGGAGCTGGGCAGCTGAGCTGGGGGTGGGGGAGCTCTTTCGGGTTCTCCCCCGGGGTAAACTCGAGAAGCTAAGCAGAAGCACCCCCACTGGCCCAGCCTCCTGACCTTCCCCGCCCCCCACTGGCTCACAGGCCTCAGCACCTCCTCCCCGACCTGTCTCAGGTCAGGAGCAGTGTCCACGTATCTCTGCAGGAGTGGGGGGTGCTGGGAAGGCCCAGGCTGCTGCAGAGCCCTCAGACCGCCCTTTGCAGAAGGCTGGGTCATATCGGGGTCCCTAGGCAGCATGGCCCTCAGCCCTCACGTAAGGGGACTAACTAACCCCAATGGGTACTCACCCAAAATAGCCCCGGGGGCCGGGTGGGGAGCCAGAATAGATGATGGTGAGCAGGAGAGGGCACCCAGCCAGCGCTAGACAAGTGTGGACGCCTCCCTGGAACATGAGCACAGCCTCTGTACAGAGCTGGAAAGCAGCTGGCCGTTCCTGGGACCAGGTGGGGGAGTCCACGGGAGCGTGTTATTATTGTTGTCTTTGCTCGTGGGTTATATTTCCTTCTGCACATATGGACGACTTAATGTGCTGGAGTTTGAGGCATCGTGCCTGCCTGTCCCCAGCGCTGCCCCTTCTCAGGACGGTGGTATGAGAGCTGGCTGGCTGGGCTGGTAGGACGGAAGCAGGACAGATGGACCGGACCAAGGAGGACTGGAGATGGCTCAGCAGTGAGGGGCGGGTCTGAGTCCCATTGACTGGGGAGGTTGCTACCAGCGTCTTGGGCTGGGACCTTCGGAGCGTCTGAGCAGACGCCAGGGGGACAGAGCCGTCATCTGGCCTGTCTGCCCAGCCTCAGCCGCCTGGTGTGGCAGTGCCTATGTCAGCACCCCACCACCGAGCCGAGTGCAAGCTGGCTGAGGTGCTGGGAGCATGGGAGACAGAGGTCAGGTGCCGTCCTCAGCCATGTGAAGCCTACATGCGTGTGCGCGCACACGGTAACGGACAAAGCACGGGGTGGGGCCGGAAGAGAAGCTCGTACTCAGAGGCCTGTCCGGTGGGTAAACGGAAGGGCCCCGGCCACGGCACACAGGCCTCTGCCGGCCGGGCTGCCTTCCTGGGTGAGTGAGTGGGCAGCCCGGGGCCAGGGCTGCCTCTACCTCTGCCCCAACCTGGGCCAGTGGACACGAGTAAGTGGTTCAGACAAGAGGCCAAGGATGGTTTGAGGAGAAGTGGTCAGACTCAGGAAGCTCTTGGGGCAGCACAGATGGACTGGCTGGCATCCTGGGGGAAAAGACGGTGGGGTGACCAGCCCCGCCTGAGCCCTTTGGGTGAATCTGATGCCACTAACTAAGCTAGGAGAACTGCAGGACAGGGTGGCTCTGAGGAGCTCGACTTGTGATCTGGACAAGCTCAGCTCCTGTAGTCGGTAGGCCTCAAGGAGGAAGTGTGGGGTCGGCATGGGGTGGACCCGTGGGGGGCTCAGTGGGGGGGGAAAGTGGTTTTTTTAATTGGGGAACATCTGTGTATAGATGACGTTTAAAGCTCTGAGCCTGAAAGAGGCCACTGAGGGGGGCTGTGGGCAAGAAGGGCAGAGGGCCAAGGACCAGGGGGCCTCCATGGCGCCACACGGGGCACTGGGAGGGGAGGCTGAGAGGTCGGGAAGCCGAGTGGCTCCCCAAAAGCCAGTGAGAAAGGGGCTGAACGAACGGGAGGGTACCCGCCGTCACCATGTTCGTTCTGCTGAGAGGTTAACAAGATGGGAACAGAATCAACCGTAGCAACTGGAAGGACAGGGGCCCTGGGGTGGGGGAGCGTGCGTTCACTGGTGGAGGGCGAGTGATGTGGGCCACATGCCCGCACGGGGCGCCCACCAGCCTCTGTCTGCATTTTGTTCATGGGAAGCAGAGTTGGGTTGGAAGCTGGCGCCAAGGGTGGATTCCTCTAAGAGGACTCACAGCGTGTTCAGATGTCGACCGGGCTGGTGCAGTAGACAAGGGACCCTGATGACACTGGGGAGGGAGGCAGGAGGGGCGGGAAGGCACGGGACTCAAGGCCTGGCCTCGCGCCTGCAGCCACCTCTCGTGTTGGGAAGGAGGACAGCGGACACGGGCAGGGTCGCAGTCAGGGTGACACACAGAGGATGAGGTTGGTCTCTGAGGTGCTGCCGTGTGCTGCTCTGGGAAGATGACACCAGGAGCGGTATACAGGCTGGACTGAAGGGGGGGGGGGCGGACTCAGGAGGCCGTGACAATAGTCACAGGCGCTGCCTGGCCAGGGAGAGAAAACACGACAGCCCTCCCAGAGACGAAATCCCACACGTGAACAGTCAGCACACAACAGCCAGCTGCCAGGGCTGCTTAAAAACCCCGTAGATTTTCACCCCCAGTGCACTGATCTGCTGTCCCCAAGGCCACCTGTGCCCAAGGGGGAGGGGGCACACAGGTCCTTTCCCAGCACACCGCTGGCAGCTGCTGTGCTCCGACAAGTACTGGGTTTGCAAGGCCAGCTGGACCACCCGCTGGGTGGCCTCAGACAGCATCTAATGTTTACAAGCTTTGCTTTTGTTTTCATTCTTTAGTGTCTTCCTGTCTGTATCGCATGTTTACTTGATAATGGATTTTTTTTCACACACGTTTTTGTTGAAATATAAATTACATACGAAAAGAAAACAAAATGCAAATGTAGAGTTCCATGGGCTCTCACGCAGTGAACAAGAAGCAGGAGTTGTGGGCGCTGCCCCCAGCTTCCTCTCATCGCCGTTCCCCCTCCCGTCCCCCAGGACACGGGTCAGCCTGGCCTGTTGGTAAACACAGGACCACACAGCGCGTGTTCCTTGGCCTGTGAGTCAGCCCTGGACACCGCCCTGAGCTTGCTCCCCCGGCCTCCGCCCCGCCACCACCTCGAGCTGCGGCGCTGACCTTGTCACTCCTTACTCCTCTGCTGTCCTCAGCCTCTCCTAAGCTTTCAAGGCTACACAGTGTTCCGCAGGCCAAGTGTGCCGTGATTTATTTATCCATTTCATGGCTAATGTGGACATGGGGTTGTTCCCGGTTTGGGGTTCTTCTAAACAATGCCGCTGGGAACGTTTCTGTACCTTTTCGGGTGTGCTTGTGATGCCATTTTGGAGTGGAATTCTGGGTCCTAGAACATGCACAGTGACCTTTGAAGTTCTCCGCCTGTAAACGGAGGTGCTGCTGCCTGGTTTGGAGTCTCCGTGAGGATGGAGCACAAAAGCTGGAAGAAGGCCTAGAGCAGTGTTTTGCAAACAGTAGGCTTTTAATGTGAGTGACTGCCACCATCATCCTTCCTGATGACGTACGTCTATGTCTGAGAGCCATCGTGTCCTCGGAACACGTCCTGCCTTCTGCCCCCCTGAACCCCACCCGCTTCCATCCAGACTTGCACACTTGATGCAAACCCAGGCCAGACTCCCCTGCCCAGACCTCTCTAACTTTCCCAAAGGTGGCGGCTTAAAGGCGTCCCCCGCTCCCCGGCCCCCTCGCACCCTCTGGCTTACTTACCCCCAGTATGGGCACACTCCTCAACTTCCACGCCCTTCTGGCTTTACTTGTCCTGTTTAGCTCAGACCTTGCTGGGGTTGTTCCCAACATTATCCTCATGCTCAGGCTCGGTCCCCGCCCTTTCTGCCCCCAGCCTGGGTGAGACTGACCACGTGGCACGTGGCCCCATGCTGCGGGTCAGACCTGCGGAAAGCACCACGCCACACACATCGGCGCTGCGACGGGCGAAACCCCGGGACCTTCCCAGGCTGCCTGGAAGCCCCCTATGCCCTTCTTACCTCTTTATCTCAAACACTAGCCTTTTTCTCTACACCCGCCTGTCCCACCATCTCTCTTTTCACCTCAGCGGATGACCTAGTGTCATATTTCCCTGAGAAACTTGAAGCCTTCAGGTGAGAACACCTTCAAATTCCTCTTCTGCTATGAAAACATGAGCTGCCAGAGATGCAGGTTCTGCCCCTCCCCCCTCCTCTCACCAGGGGGAGCCCTCCTGTCCCTTGGTTGGTCTCCGAGGACCTCCTTTTTGCTTCCTGCAGGGGACACTTTTGGTCTTACCCTGTTTGTTCACTTGGTGGCATGTGACCACTCTCTCAGTCTGAAAGCACCCGGTTCCCTTGGCGCCAGGACACCACACGCGCCTGGTTCCCTTGCTGTCTCTCCAGCTGTTTCTGCCTGGTCTCCGCTCACAGCAGCCCTTCCTTGAATGCCTACAGGCTGTTCTCAGAACTGTGGCTCCCCTTGCAGTCTGCACGGGCACCTCATCCAACCCCACGGCCCAGCCGCTGCCCACGCGCTCGTGCGCTATCTCTGCCCCAGATCTCTATTTTGAGTTCTAGATCATTCGCTGGCCTCTTGGGCTCCTCAAGTGTCTCCGATTCAACTGGTCTAAAAATAAATTAGTCATCATCACCCCAGCCCACCCTCAGCCCGCTTTCCCTGCTGCGTCCGCTCTCCGCTGTGGTGCAGAGTCAGGGGGACGCCCGCCTAGGTGTAACCCTAGGTGTAACTCATGGCTCCTCTGGCCCTGAGCCCCTCCCAGTCCTCCTAGTGTCTCCGTGACAGACTCTGGCTGATTCTACCCATGATCTCCCTGTTCTCCTGTCACCGTCACGCGTCAGCCAGGAGAACACAACGGTCCCACTGCCCCCCACCCCCCACCACTCCTCTGGCCCCCTTGCCCTGCGGCCTCCAGCAGCTGCCAGCGTCTGATCACACAGCGAAGGCAGGATGTTGGCAGCCTCCTGCCTAAAAGCTCTCGGGAGCTCAGCAGAGCTCCCACGATCAAGTCCAGGCTCCTCAGCACGGCCTGGAAGGCCCGTGGCCATCCAACACCTCCTGCTCTGTCTAGCTACTAGCGCCCTCCTGCTCAGCTTCCGCCCTTTGCTCCGTCCTGCCTGGGCATGGGCCCTGCAGGTGCCGCCCTGAGCTTGCTGCCTCGGCCTCTGCCCTGCCACCAGCTCGAGCTGCAGCGCTGACCTCGCCACTCCTTACTCCCCTCTCAAGGCTCAGCTCAGGTGGCAGCTCTCTGCTTCCCTGACCCCTCCACCCGTGCTCACAAACACCGTCCGCCCCTTCTGTCCCTGTTTGTGCCGCGTGGCATTGTCTGTCTCTGCGCTTTCCCTGGCTCCTGAAGGCAGGCCCGACTCGGTCATCCCGTCCCTGCGAGCCGGCTCGTTAAATGTCTGTTGCTGAGTGAGCGAGGGGTGAACAGTTTGCAAACGCCGTTCCTGTCATAGTTGGTGGGACCTACACATGCTGTAAATGCATCTGTCCTCTTCTGAGACTACCTGAAAGTGACCTGGGGTCCAAATCCTCAAACGAAGGGCCTGCTAGCAGTGACGCCTTTTTTTTTTCCAGTTTCTGTAAACAACCGACCGAATCAGTGCAGAGGCTGACCCTCTGGGGTCCCGTTGTTGGACTGGTCGCTGCCATGTGTCCCTTCCGTCTGCTCTGGGCAGAACTAGCCTCCAGGACTCATTACTAATGCTCCACGTTTTCCTCCCCCTTTGCTCCCTTTCCCCAGCTCTCTAGGGATCTGGGGTTACAGGCTGACATTTCCAGCATGACCCCCTCAGGTCTGCCTGTGATCTCTGGGGCCACAGATCCACCCTAAAAGGGTATTAATAATTTGCTCTGTACACAGCCAGCTGAGCCTTCAGTTCCCAGCCTCTGGGTTCTTCCCTAAAATGTCTGGACTTTAGCAGCTGTGCCTCCAGGTCCAGAAAAAGCAACGCAGCCCCTGCAGGGACTTGCTGTGAGCAGAGTCTCCTTCGCGCCCCACGCAGGTGGCCCTGTTTGGGGGTGCCCGTGTATGGACGTGTGCGTGCAATGACCCAGAGGCTCTGTGGCCACGCAGACACAGACTTACCTGACTAAAGCCAGACTTGTGGGCACTGAGCCGGGATCGGGTCCTCGTCACAAACTGCCAGCTTTCCTCAGCCAGGGTTCTGCAGGAGAATTAAGCCCCGTAGGAAGTTAGTTTAGTGACTATTTCCTCAACTCGCCACAGATGCTGACTAGCAGGTCCCATTCTAGGCACACAGGAAAGAAATTAATTCATGACATACAATGGGTGCCCAGGCGCCAAGGGCCCCATGCTCCTCCTGGAATGTCACGTGACACGGGCTGGTTTCCCAGGATGGGTCACCTGGCCCCTCTAGGGCCAGCACGTCTTCCACCTGCCACTTAGTGGTGGCCTGCCCGTCCCTGGTCCTTCACGGCACTGAAAACATACTGTAATTGCTAAATCACCAGGAAAATGTCCAGTAATGAGCCCAGCGCACGGAAGACAAGCATCGCAGTGGCCAAGGACCTTTCAGGTTGGGGAGACTTTGTTTACTTCCAGTCCCTGCAATCCTTGCCTGAAAGGCAGGATTTGGGGGGATGGGGTACACAGAGCACAGAGGTGTTACAGCTAGCTGTGCTTCCTTCGGAAAATAACTTGTAATTATCATGTAACGAGGCTCGTTGTAGACAGTATACAGGCACAGGAACAAGAGAAAATAGCCAGTAATTCTTTGGCTTATTAGCTAAAGATAGTAGCTACTGTCAAACTGCCGAGGGTATGGTTCTGTGTGCACTTTCCTCTCATAGTTGAGGTCGTGTCGTGCACACACACTCGCATACACGTTGTTTCCGGCTGTTTTTCTTGCATTTGATCATTCCCCGTGTCACCGAAGTCTCCCCAAACCTCCTTTTCAGCGGCTGGTATCCCAGCCCAGCACGTGGCGGGCCCAGCCATCTGCCTGTATTTGGACATTTGCACGGTTCCTGATAAGCAGACTTTCCAGGCAGACCCGCGGAGCACAGGCTCCTACCGTGGCTTTGGCGCCCGTCCCTGGAGACATGGAGCCAACCAAACAGTGACAAATAGAACCCTTAGCACAGTGTTCCCCCAGCGGAGACCTAGGCCGGGCAGGGAAACACACGTCCAAGAGGAAAGAGGAGGTTCACAGGGCACTGGGGGGACCGATGGCCTCGCAGGACAGACGCCCCAGAGCCCAGGAAGTGGGAGGCCACCTGTGGGAATCGTTTAGAGGGCCAAGGCCCGTGCTGGAGTGTCTGCCGAGCCAGGCCGGCCTCCACCTCCGTCTCCCTGAGACCCGGGAGTGTGTCTGTCTGTGTAGACCAGAGCCGAGCCTGGCTCCCTTGCCTCAGGAGGAAACACTTGTTGCCATTCAACAAGAGAATCAGCCTCCAGCCTTGGAAAAGTCCAGGTGCGGGGAGGATGTGAAGCCCGGGAGGTCGGCTCGTCCACCCTGCTGCTCCCTGGCCGGCCCACGTCACAGCAGTCATGAGGCAAAGCAGCACTCCCTCCCACGGGAAGTGACGACGGGCGCCTCCCCCAGCAGCCGGCACTCACCGGCACCGAGGCCTCCGGGCACCGCGCTCTGCCTTCTGGGCGTCCACATGTGACCCCGGTGTGGCGGCGCCGTGGGCTTCTCCTGCGGCCCCTGCGCTCCCTGCTCGGCTGCCGGCCTGGACCCCTGTGGGAGCGCACGCTCGGCCCCACCTCAGCCCCACCCTCCGCAAATGCCTGAGACAGTGCTTCCCGAAACGCCGATCCGATCGATGGCCAAGTCTCTGGTTAAGAGCTTGTGCCGGCTCCATGGCCCTTGGCTGGCGAGAAATCTGCAGGCTCTGGCCCCAGGGCACAGCTCGCTGTCACCGCTCACAGAGACGGTCCCGCCACCCCGTCCAGGGTGTGCTGCTCCGGGAAGTCACTGCTCCCATCTTGCTCCCTCTCACCTGTCCCCTGTGCCCGTGATCCCAGTCTGCCCAGAACGTTCTGGGTCCGGGGTCACTGTCCGTCTCAGCCTCGGATGATGGCAGCTGTGCCTTGCAGATCTTTATGCCCCGGAAGGGCAGTGTGGGGACACACCACTGAGCACCCACTGCGCTGCCTGCCTGTCCCTTCTCTCGATCCGATGACGACCTCCTCCAGCCTCTGGGGGAGGGACTGTGGCGAGGAGAGGGGTCGTGGGTTTCAAGGCCACCTCCGCCCTTGCTGAGTCCTTTTGGAGGTTTTCACCTCAGTAAAGTGACGCCCCTCGAGCCACCGTTCCCCAGGCTCCAGGAGGGTTGGGGGACAGCAGAGCAGGACGCTGAGTCTTTAAGCCCCATGACACTTGGGAGGTGACTATGGTCATTGCACTGCAGGGAAAGAAAGAGAAGTCGAGATTTAGGGGAAGAGAGGCAGCAAACATGGAAGCCAGTGCATGAAACAGGGGTGTCCGATGGCCTCTACGCCGTCAGGACCCCGAGAACACACGGCGGGAGCTGCGAGCGGGAGGAGGTAGAGTAAAGCTTCAGAGGTTGCCTTCTTCTGCATCGGTCATGTGGGCACAGGAGACGAGGGGAGGGAACAAAACGGGAAAGGTGACTTCCTGGACACGTCACACCGGGACCGTCAGGAAGGTTGGGTGATGGAGTGAGGGGCTCGGCCTCACAGGTGAGGTCCCCAGGCCTTGGAGAGGCCGCCAGAGCCACTCACGCAGGAGACACAGGTGCCCGGTTCTGTGTGGCCCAGGGGCGGCACCAGAGCCAGAGGGCTTCCTGAGTCTGCTTTTTAGAAAAAGGTGTGGCTTCCTCAGGAAGGACTGAGCTCCCTGTCACTGGACGTATTCAAGCACAGCCCACTTGGTCGGTTCACTGGAGGTGGGACAGAAGTATTTTCATAGTTTCTCAGAAAATATTTACTTATTCCATGCAAAGCACGATGCAGCCTGGGGCCGGGGACAGAAGTAAAGGAACCCCTGCCCTCAGGTCACTCGCCATCCAGTCCAGGGGTAGCGACCGAGCCGTGACAAGTGACAAGTGGGGGAGCTGTGCCTGTGCAGGGGCGCAAGGAGGGCTGAGCCCAGGGCCGGGCCAGGAAACGGGGTGACAGCTGTTAATGTTTAGGTAGGAGAACGCGACACAGCTGTCTTTTCAAAGCTTGTCTTTTGGAGCTACACACAGAAATGTTTATTTGAAATCATACCTGTCGTGGCTTCAAAATCACCCGAGGCTGGGACAGGCGTGGGTGGGCGCATGGATGGCAAACGCGGCCAGGCCTCGGTAAGTGGAAGCTGGGCGGCGGGCGCCCCGAGGTCTGTGTACAGTCGAAGTCCCCCCAACAGCCAGGTGGAGAAGGAGGGACGTCCTGGTGTCAGGAGCAGCACACTGAAGTCGGGAGACGCACGTGCGTGCTTCACTCTGGCCGGAGTCAAGTGTGGAGGAGGTGGCAGGCACAGGCCGGCCGCAGGGCTGTGTGCCAAGCTCCCAGGTCTGGATGCCACGTGGCAGCATGGCAGCCACCGAACACGTGCGTTTTAGGAAGAGTTCGGTGTCTGAGAAGTAAGACAGGCGCCGGAGCTGGTGCCCCAAGCACGGCAGACTGAGGGATGGCCAGGAGCTGACGGAGGTCTAACAGGATGGCGGGGTGAAGGGTGCCCCACCCCGGCCATCTGGCACCCAGTGTTCCCGTCAGGCCCAGGAGCAGCTGTGAAAGATCAGGACCCAGGGTCGCGTTAGGTGTGGGGCCCCCGTCCAGGAGTTCGGAGGACGTTGGATGGCGAGGGCACAGCGGTCAGCCGTGTACCCGGCCCTGTGAGCACGTGGCCTGTGGGCGGCTGAGGTCGCAGCCCGGGCCCCCAGTCCTGACTCGGCCATTGCAGCCTGTTTACTGCGGGCAGGAAGGTGGCTGTGTGGCTTCTGCTGCAGCCCCGGTGGGCAGTAGGACCCAGCACTCAGATGGCTCACTTCTAAGTGGCCCTTTTGGTGCTCTCCGGCTGGCTGGGTTCGTGTCAGTGCTGGGAGGATGCGAAGAGCAGAGGCCTGGGAGCCGTGAGGAGGAAGGGAGAGCAGTGGGGGTCGGGGGTGACGGCGGGCGGGCAGCTAGGGACTCCCCATGAGTGGTTTGGTCGTACCTGGGAGGGGGTAGCAGAGACGGTCAGCTGTGAGTGGAGCTGGGCAGGGAGACAGCTGCAGACCAGGGGACCCCGTCCATAGGGCAGCTGCCTACCGGAAGCGGCCTGCCCACCCGCAGCCACCGTGACCTGTAGTCACACTCATCAGAGCCGGTGAAGGGTGATCCCCAAGTGCCAAAGGGCAAACGCTGGCGCCCCAGCATCCAGCGTCACTCAGGAGGCCCTGGGGGCCCCACACCCAGGAGGGGAGCAGCACTGAGCAGATCTGAGATCCAGGGTTGGGCCTCCCTGGGGGTGTGGTCACAGAGGGGTCATTTGCAAGAATGTGACTGACACTGGATCGGGGGTTAGCGATGAGGGCAGCTGGTGCGGACGAGGCAGAGTCTGGGTGTCATCCCAGCAGAGCCGAGCAGGGCACGGCCGGGGACTTAAGGCGGGGACGCGACACGCCCACAGAGTGCCCCTCACAGCAACCAGAGGTGGGCGAGGCCGGGTCCCTCCAGGATGAGCGGGGCCAGGAGAGGCGGTCCTTGTGGGGTGGAACAACATTCGGCCTTAAAAGGGAGGGTCTGAATTTAAACTTTCTGAGGTGTCCACATGTAGCAGGTGACACTCTCCATTTAGCACGACTTATGTCTTACTCTCGCCCACACGGCGTGACCTGGACAAGAGCTGGGTTGTTGGGGACCCTCCTTGTCCCGAGAGGAGCAACTAAAGGACCCAGCTAATGGGTGATAGTTCTGGGGTCAGCTGCTCAGCCTGCTTTGCTGAAACAAACCTGACGTCTTGCAGCCATCAAAGCTTGGGGGGAGAGTGGCTGCCGGAGCCCCACGCCACCCGGCCCAGGGGCTGGCTCCCCCTTGTTTACTGTGTTCCTTCCAGCTCTGGGCATCCTCAAGGCTGCAGGCCTCCGTCCCACGGACCCCAGGGAGTGTAACACACAGAGGGTGCCCGCGTTCACACCGGCGTTGGGCCGGAAGGGAGGGGACAGGGAGCTGGGAGAGTCAGCACAGGGGGCACAGATCCGACAGGGCCCGTGCAGCCTGGGCCCTGAGGAGGCCGGTCCCAGGCGTGGCCTCCTCGGGGGAGGGTGTGGGGAGGTGGGCTTGTTGTTCCCGGGCTGGGGGGCTCTCCCAGGAGCCCTGCCTTACACCTCCCACCCCTTGCTGGGCCCCTGGCTCCGCCCACGCTGGGCCTCCCTACAGCCCTACTCACTGAGCCCCCCGCTGGCCTAAGTGGTACTGGGGTGAAGGGTTGGGGGTGTGGCTCTGGGGGCCGGCGGTCAGGACGAAGGTCCCGGGCCTGCCAAGCTACGGCCAGGCTGGCCGCTAGCCCACCCACCAGCACTTGAGCCTCTGACAGTGGGGAGTGGGGTGACAGCACCCTTTTGCCTCCCACGTCCACCTCAAATGACACAGCTTTGTCACTCACTCATCTGCGCTCGGCTCCTTACTCTGCAGACTTTCTGATCTGCGTCATTCCACACCAATGTTTGGCTTCACTCGCCCACCTGTTCCCTCGGTGGCTCTGTCAGGCACGTCCACTGCGCCAGGCACCGTGCTGTCTGCTGGGCCACGCTTCGTGCCATGGTCCTGTGGGGAGACGGACAAGGGGACCGACAGTGATAGGGGCCACCCAGCCCCCAGCGCCTCCCCCTCCAGCATCAGCTCAAGTGTCTGCCGGACAGACGGACGGAGCCTCCCTCAGGCCCTTCGGGGCTTCCTGGACCCGTGCCCCTCCCCCCCGGGCCAGCTCAGGCTTCGAGCGGCCTCTGTCGGAAACCCACGGGACCCCTCCTGTTGGGCCCCTCCCCTGCCAGGCTTTGGGTTTCTTCTTCCTCGTTAGTCCACAGGCCCTTCTCGTTAAGAGTCTCATTGCCAGGCACTGTGGGCGAGCTAACGTGGGGAAGACACACGGTGGGGGACCTGGATACCTGTCCCCAGGCCACCCCTGCCTGGTCACACAGGGGTGGGGTTGGGGGAGATTCCCAAAGCAACCTGCCCCTCCCGGCTTCTGGCCCTCCAGGCAGGTGTCCAGGGTTTGGGACGTGGCCATTTCACTTCTCATGGAACAGAGCACAGTGTATAGTTCCGCCGACCACTGGTGAAGTGTGAGACCGTGCTGCGCAGGCGGGCAGCGGCCTGGAGCAGGAGGGGACAGGCCTGCCACCTGCCCTCACGGAGGCCCGGCTCATGGCAGCTCGTCTCCTGTCCAAGCCCTTCTCGGCATCGGGCCTGGCTCTTCCACGTACGACCCAGTGAGCAGCTCGACTGGTCGGCGCCGTTCTGCGTATCACAGACCAGGCTGGGAGCGGGGCAGTCACCTGCCCAAGGTCACACGGCTAGTGTGGGGCAGAGCTGCGGTTGTCACCCAGGCAGCTGGCTGCAAAGCCCACGAGCACCCGTGCCACTGCAAACAGAATGGTCTCGGTCGAGCCCAGGCCTCCTGACAGCCCAGAGGGGACCTGGGGCTTTCTAGGGGACAGTATCGGTCACAGGACCTGAGGATTTCTGCCCCACAGGCACTGCTGTCCTCCCCAGGACGCCCAGTGCAGGGCTGCTGCCTCCCCAAAAGCTGAGTCCCCGGATTTCTTGTCAAGAGAACTGACACTCCTTGTCCTTTTGGGGGACAGTAAGACAGCTGCTTTCCCATGGGGCGGGAGGTCCCCCAGCCCTGGGCCTTGCTACCTGTCCCGCCCTGCCCCTCCCACCTGCCCTGTGACAGAGCTGCTCTCCCAGGGACCTTTCCCTGGCCCTGTGGCCAGCCCGTTGCCAGCTTCTCCCTGTCCCCGCGTGCAGACAGATGACCCAGCAGCTGCAGTGCCAGCTATCAGAGGTCACCAGGTGGCTGGGGAGTGTGGCCCTGACCACAGCCCTCGGCTGGGCCGCAGCCATACATCAGGACAGTGCCATCGGACTCTGAGACGTGACGTGGTGGCCGGTGGGGGGCCCTGGTGCGGGACCAGGGACGAGAGGGGGCGAGGGGTTCAAGCCCTGGGAGCCGGTCTGGGGCGGGCCCCGCAGGAAAGTCTTGCTCTTCCCGGGCCCAGGAGGGTCAGCGGCGGCCACAGTCCAGTAATGAGCTTGCGCCACGCACCCTGGGCTGTCACTGTCCTCAGGACTCCATCCGACTGTGAAGTCGGCTGACAGCAGAGTTTGGGACCCCAGAGTCCCTGCTCTCGGTCTGGAGCCTGAGCTGAGCGTTCGGGGTGCCTCCGGAGAAAACCTTCGGGGCCCCAGCAGGCAGCCCTGGGGGACAGCCGGGCTGGGCCCTGAGCCTCCGAGGGGACCACCTGGGCCTCGCTGTGGGGCAAACGCACCGGAATCGGTGACAGTGACATCACTTATCAGTTAGGAGGTGCAGCCGCCGCCAGTCGCCTCTGCCCCCCAGGCAAGCGGCTGGAAAGAGCACTGCCCGGCAGAGGCATCCCGGCCGGCTGGCCTTGGTGCTGCCATCTGAGGGGGGGGCGCGTCTGCAGAGGTCACAGCCCCTGGCAAGGAGAGGACCCGGGGTGGCCAGCGTGGGCTCACAGGGACCGGTGGTCTTGCCCTCCTCAGAAGGGCTCGCTGTCGAGGGCCGTGGGCACAGGCAGGCCACCCTCTCCTCTGCCCCGTCGGCGGTGCAGGAGGTGAAACGCTCTGTCCCATCAGAGTTCCAGCGGAAGTAGCCCAGGAGGCCAGAGGCAGGGCAAGGGCGCTGCCTTCCGCCCATAGGAGCCGACTTAAGACCCTTCGCTTGGGTCCCAGCCCAGTGACAGACACAGAGCCACACCGCGTGGCCATCGGAGAAGGAGCTGCCCTTCCCTCGAGCCATGTCGCAGGTTTAGTTAGTTCTCAACCACCTGTGGCCGGCAGGGGCCATCCTTTCCGCTCCCGCTGCCTGCCGGGAAATCCCAAACCCCTGCGCTCCCCTAACCCTGCCGCTTTCCCCAAGGGGACGTCATCGCTGCTTCCGTCTGTCACGTAGTGGCCCGTGGCCTGAGCTTGGTGGAGGTTCCTCGTCATATCTAACAGGCCGGGAATGACCCGTGGGGGTCACCACCAGCACTCCTAGAAGCAAAGCAGTTGGCCCCACTGGCCGAGGACGGGCTCCTTCTCCTTTTAAGGCAACGTCTGAGCTCTGGGCGGGAAGCCAGCCCGGCCCGCTCATTCCTGGCTGTTTGGAGGAAAACTATGATTAATCCGTCCCCCCCACACACCCCCGCCTGTTTCTCATTAGGTTCTTTTTAAAGGGTTGGCACATCTCCCCAAGAACAGACACGTGGCGGATACCCCAGGGTCGGGAAGGACCCTGAGAGCCGGACAAGGGGCGACAGCAGGAGAGAGTGAAAGCGCTGGAAACTGCGTCGGTGGGGGCAGGGGTCCTGGTTGGGAGCCTGGGTGGAGGAGGGCAGGAGGCTGGTGTGCGGGGTGCTGGGGACCGGGGGCACACGGGCGGGCACCCAGGGGGAGGCCGGGCGGGCAGAAGGACCTCTAATGGGGAAGGTCAGTGGAGGTCACACTGACTCAGGTCTGAAGCCCCCCTTCTCCTGGACTTGCTGCGTGAAAGGGGTTCAGTTTTCATCTCTCTGGGTCCCCAGTTTCCTCAGCGGGGCCTGTGAGCAGCCGGACAGCGCCCCTGGGCTCTGAGAAGTCCTGCAGTGTGCACGTTTGGGAACCGGGAGGCAGGAGGGCAGCAGTCTTCCTCTGGGGGGTGCTGCTGAACTTGGGGTTGGGGGAGGGCGGGCAGGCAGGTCACAGGCGTGTTGTGCAGGGGACCCAGCGGGTCCCTTCGTGCCTCCTGCTGCACACTCTCTCTTCGTCTGTCTTTGAAATCGAGGTTCAGCTAAGTCACCGCCTCTTGTGGAGCCAGTGGGGGGCGAGGGGGGGCGGTGTGTCCCTGTCCCTGTGCACAGCCCCAGGGAGCCCGGGCCCTGGAGCAGGAGAAGGGGGGGCGCATTCCAAGGGCCTGTCTCACCAGGCCGCCTGTGGTGACTCCAGCAGAGCGGCCAAGGACTTTTGCTGCTAAATAACCCAGGCTGGTCCCCAGGGCCGTGTGTTTGTACTCAGGTACAAACCGTTTCCATAGCGCCCAGCAGCACCCCGTCCTCTCTGGGAGGGCTCTGGGCCCAAGGCCGGGATGGAGCCCCCCCCCCCACACACACACACACACACTCTGGGAAGAGGAGGCCGTTCTAACTAGCAGGCCAGCATCTTCTCTTACAAACCTTCAGGGAAGGACATGCCGCCCGGAGGTCCCGGTGGCCCTGGGGTGTGTTCCCGGTGTGTCTGTGGTCACGGTGAGTCACAGGGCCGCTGACCGGACGGGCCCCAGAGCTCCTCACAGACAGGTCTGGTCCTCAGCACAGATTCTCCTGAAAAACAAGAGAAACACTGTGGGTTTGCCGAAAGCTACACATATCCAGTGTGAAGGTGTGTCCTCACGCCTCCTTATTTCAAGGAGACGATGACAGTAGACTGTATAAACGCCCTTAACTGGTAAAATTAAACGTCACCAGCCCCGTCTTGGTCCCTCCAACCTTTTTCCCCTGTGAACAGGGATTGGCTATAGAATCGCAGGGTCTGAGAACCACTAGCCCAAGCTTGGGGCGCAGGCGGGATAGGGTGCTGCCCGCCGGTGAGGCACTGGGGGGGGGGCGGCAAAAAGCTCAGTGACCACGACTGGTATTGTCATGGACATTGCAGGACATCGAATTTAATGCAAAAAAGCCAGGATGAACACGAATTCAAAAACTGTAAATAAAGACGGGATCGGAATTGGTGATTTGCCTTTTCCCCATGTTCCTTCTAAACCACAGGCCAGAAAAGGGCGGCGCCAGCCGGCCGAGGCCCCGGGAGGAGGCCGCCTCCCCAGGTGCCCGCCTGGCGTCTCAGGGCTTGCAGCTTCGGGTCTGATCTCGGCCTGTTCTCTGCAGCCCGAGCCCCCGTCCCTCTGTGGCGTCCTCAGTGCATGGAGGCCCCAGGCCGTTCAGTGAGGGGTCCCCACATGCCCCCAGCCTCATGCCGCTCCCTCTCCAGCCAGCTCCTCACGTTCGCTTTTCTTTTCTGAATTCTTAGGAAAGCAAGCAAGCGGAGACCAAGACAGATGCCAAGAACGGAGAGGAAAGGGGCAGAGATGCCAGCAAGAAAGCCCTGGGCCCCAGGCAGGACTCAGACCCGGGGAGGGAGCCAAGGAGGGGGGTGTTGAAGAAAAGCTTCTCTAGGGACAAAGATGACGCTGGGGCCAAAGGCACAGAGCAGCCCAAGG